CATGGCGGGAGGTGCTGGGCTTCATGAGAGTGCAGCTGCTGGAGCCCAGCCTTGAAGGAGAAAGTAGGGTTACCCTGGGTACTGGGGGCAAAGGCAAAGGAAGCACAGGCAGCGGGCTTGCAGTTGGCCCTCCCTCTCATATCCCTCTCCCTCCTGGCTCCACTTTCTCCCTCTTATTGTCCCCCCTCCTCATTACCTCCTTCACTGCTCCCCCATCCTCACAGCTATGTTGTACCCGCAGCCTCACAGAAGTGGCCCACAGTGCCCTGGACCACACCACAGTGCTGGCGTCTCTGTTGCAGACCTTCTTCTCATAGATCATCATGCTGAGGCCAGCCCTTTTTGTCTTTATAACATTTGAGTGGCCAGTTTGGGATGGGAATGTGACTGCCACCTGGGGGATTTTACCCTGGTGAGGAAGAGGGAAGATGATTTTGAAAGTACTGAATGGGTACCTCTGGGTATGAGCCAGCACATCCAGTGAGAGGAACATGGAAAGGCTTCTGTTTTTGAGGATCCCTTAACGAATAGCATTTTAGTCCCAAATGGGCTATGGAAACCATGGCCAAACAGCACGTGTTCCTGGATGTGAACAGCCAGCCCACCTGAGAGAAATCTCCGTCAGTCAGAACTGTGTTCTTAGAATGAGGGAGGTGTCGGGGTAGGGGTGGCTGCCTGAGAGGCCTCTGCATCTGTGAACTAGGCCACCTAACTGGCGGCTGTGCTGAGACACAGAGCTCCCGGGCAACTCCCCATGTCACAGTTCCAGCCTTTATGCACATCCTCAGTTTTGCACTGACTATGCCAGGCTCCTGAAATGCTGTGCATTCTTCAGTGAAGAGGCACTGAATCTGTGCTTTATTTTTGATTTAATCTTTTCAAGAGAAATGCAGTGAAGGAGGTGGCAAAGACAGCTCCTAGCATCCATCTGCTGATGGCAGGGCCCTGCATAGGTTGTGATCGGCCTCAGGGGTGGCAAGCCCTCACGAGGTCCAGGTTGCTATAGAGAGGCAGTGTGAAGTTTCTCGCTGCACCCCTCCACCATGGGAAACATCTGTGTGAGAGGACCAGTGCCTGCCTGTGCTCAGCTTAACATGGGTCACATGAGCACCTGGAGATTCTAGCCCTGGCTGACTCCAGCTCATCTGCATGTGGAGCTTCCTCCGTCCTTTTCCCTGCTGGCCCCAGCTGTCGTTTGTTTAGGTTCGGTGTCTTACCAGCCTCAATGTCAAGGAAGAGAAACAAGAGCATAGTGAACGTCTGTGATTAGGGATCTGCAGAGCAGGGCATGGTGAGTCCTGAGACGGCCTCATCCTGGGTGTGGGCAGGTAGCTGGAGGTCTGAATAGGCTGCCCATCACCATCCTTCATTACATGCCTCGGGACATTTCATGGTGCATCAGTTCTAGTGACTAGCAAAATTTAGGGGTAGACTGGCACAAAACAGGTTGGGCCATTAATGGTTAATAAAAATCCACCTAAGACCATTTCTGTTGAGGCCAGTTAACACATGGGAGACTAGCAGGTACTCCTCATTGCTGGCTGTTGGTTTTTATTTGGAGCCAGGATTTAGTTGTGAGTGGACTGCAGAAATCATTGGACATCAGCTCCCTATTTCCTGAGACAAGGGGAGTGGGTGATCTTTCATATTGTTCTCATTTTCACATTTGCTACCATGAGTCTGCCGTAAATTTAAAATCAGGAAGACACCCTTGACTTTCAAAAGGAGCCCTTGACCCCTGTAGAGTACTTGCATGTTTGACCATTAGACATCCTTGGGCTCTTGAGCAGGCTGTGGCTTTCACACACCCCTCCTCCCCGTGCAGAGTGTGCACATGGCCCATGGGACTCCCCCGTGCTGAAATACAGGTACCTACCTGCAACTCCTGCCTTTGTATGGGGCACCTCTGGCTCCAAGAACTTGACATCTGAATGGTCATGACCTCAGCATTAGTTGTTTTGCAGAGTCCACACCCAGGGAGGTTGGTTTTTGAGCAGCTTTGTAAGCGTCCCTGTGGTGGTGTTAATGTGCTTTAATGGAACTTGACTGCTACCATTTCTGATGACCGGTTGGTTATTGATCCATAGGATTAATCAGAGGCACTCTGAGAGGGTCAGGTGACAGTTCCCTGGAGGCTGGAAGGTCTCTGTCCTCGACTGGGGCTGTGGATGGGTACCTGTCCCCAGTTTCAGTCCTTCCATGTAGCAGGGTTTTAGTTCACTTTTGAGAGTAGACATTTGGCTGGGTTTCCACCTGAACATTTGTTTATTCAATTCTAAAGTCAGACTCAAAGAAGCTGAATTCCAGGAACCTGTGCTTTGATTCTGAGCTCAGTATTGGCTTAAAAGTAAATTCAGTGTTAAACTCTCATTGGAGTAATGGGATTTATTGTTATTCAGTTTTTTTTCTTAGAAAAATTAAGTTGTAGACATCTTCTTTAAATTGCTCATAATAGTTTCAATCTGAAAAAAATAGCTTATCAACAATTCTTTCTCTATAGAATAGTCTTGACCTTCACTCATGTTAGCGAGATACTAGGTGCAAATAATTCTATGGATTTTAACTAACATGAAAATTAGCACATCTCAAAGACCTGTTTTGTATTCTGAAGACTATACTTCGTGACACATTCATTCATTCCCCATGGAGGAGCCTTCCTGGGTGCTGACAGGCAGTTCATATTTACGATTCCACACAATGATGCGTGATTGGGGACAATAATGCAGATGATCTTTATGTTGTAGTTCACCCTTATTTCCCTAAATCTGTGAGTCTAGAGGACCGCTTTGTCTCAAGATCAAGAGACAGGCCAGAAATGTGACGTGACATTGTGACGGAGGGCTGCCAGGGTCTGATTTATTCCCATCACTTTTGTTTTATGGGCTTTAATATAATCTAATATTGGGTAATGTCCATCCAAATGGGAGGTGGAATGAGATCATACAGTGTAGCTCTGGGGCATTTTGGGGAATCTGAGTCGTTGTTTGTACTTGCTGCTTTCATTAAAACTCCATGACAATATTGTTTTTCTGGGAGTTCTGTAATCCTGTGAATTTTAATCACCAGTATCTGTGGTGGTTGTTTCCAGTCTTTTTGTAAAGATAATTGAAAGATCTCTCTTTCCTTCTGGGTTCTGGCTCAAAAATAAATGTTGAGAAAGACTATTAAGCAAATTTCTGCCTGTTCCTCATTTAGAAAGTAAATGAATACTGAGCAGCTGAAAGGGAACCCAGGCTGTACTTAGGGCCCTTGGGGTATAGGTAATACCAGTGGGGAGGGACACTTCATTGTAAAAGCTGTTGTCGGAATATCGCTGTAATACTGTCCTGACCTGAGCAGCAGCAGGCAGCCCGCTGGGATGCACGTTTCTTGAGATTGCCAACGCAGGAGGGCAAGGCTGTTGACACGACTGGTGACCCAGGAATGGGGCGAGCCTCTACCGCAGACACAGCATGTGGCTCTTGGGCAGGTCCTCTGTGTCTATTCAGACAAGCAAATAGGTCTTCAGGCGGAGTCCTTCTTCATGTGCGCCTGTCCTCAGTGAGTACAACATCAGCCCCCACAGTGCAGCTCAGAGCATGGTGTCTGGGATCAAAACTAAAAATAAGGGGCATGTTTCACCCCCACTTCATTTATTGTTTTGTCACAAAGGTGTAATTTAGTTTCGCTCCTAAACAGTAAGAAAACCCCACTGGTTTGAATTGTTTGCACAGTTCTAGCTGATAGACAGTTCTCAGGAGCTGGAGCTGGGCACTCAACCCAGATTTTGCTAACTGTTGGTGACCAACACTGCAGAACTAGGAAGCCAGTTTTGTGGTTTAAAACTCCTGGAATTCCTCCCTATGGGTCTGTTCTGTGAGTGCTGTTTCTCTGGAAGACCACCGGGGGCCTCGTTTTGATCTTAGGATGACATTGCAACATTCAGAAGGAGTCAAGGTCTTTCAGAGGAAGACAGAAAACAGACAAGAGGCTTGTGCCACGCTGTTCTAAGTGTTTCCCAGAGATTACCTCCTGTAGTCCTCACAGGGAGGAGTTCAGTACTTGAGTGGAGGGGGGCGGGGGGTTGAGGATGCAGAGCCAGGTTCATGCCGGGCGGGCTGGCCTCAGCACTCTCCTCTGACCCCATGCCATTTGCCATCAAGAGTGTTGTTAGGTGGCAGGAAGGGCATGGAATGTGCCTGCTAATGTCCACTGTCCCCAGTTCATGTAAGTTGACTACAATATATTTTTTTTCTATAAGAAAGCTCTTAGAAGTGACCCTCAGTATCCATGGGCCTGCCTCTGATTTTTGTCACCAGGTCTTAGGAATTTCTATTCCCAAACACCACAGAAGTAGAAACTTTGCCTGCTGACTCTGTCACTGTCCCCATGGTCAGCAGTAGGCATGCTCACTGCGGTTCTGCAGTCTGTCTGTATCTTTTCCTCTGTCTCTAGCTCATCCCATTTCATCACTAGGTAGTATTCCAGCATGTGAATGCACAGTTTGTGTTCAACTCGGAGGTACATTGGGCGTGGCGAGCTGGGCTGTCCTACAGGACTGCCATACACATTCCCTAGAGGGCTTTGGTCAGATTTGCCCCATGTCTCTTGGGTGAGTCCCAGGAGTAGGACGGCTTTGCCTTAGGGTGAATGCTTATTTCACACTCTTTTGTGTCATTCTCAAAAAGGCATTCCCAGCTTCCAAGATGACATAAATAAATCTCCCTGTGTGTTTTCTTCTAGGATTCAGTCATTTTTATCACTTAAAAGGTCAGGAGACATCTGGGACCCGAGCAGCCTGTTTGCGTGGGCACTGCACAGAGTTGGGATAGAATCATAGGAAATGCAGGCTGTGGGACAGGACCAGCCCCAGTGGCAGCAGCTACACAGAGGCGAACTGGTCCTTCGCTGATTCTGTCGTGTGTGTGTGTGTGTGTGTGTGTGTGTGTGTGTGTGTGTGTGTCTGTGTGTTGGTTCTTGTCTCAGCCCCAGGCTCTGACCCGTCTCCTTCCCTCCTACAGCACCAGCAGGAACTGCTGGCCCTGAAGCACCAGCAAGAGCTGCTAGAGCACCAGCGGAAGCTGGAGAGGCACCGCCAGGAGCAGGCACTGGAGAAGCAGCACCGTGAGCAGAAGCTGCAGCAGCTCAAGAATAAGGAGAAAGGCAAAGAGAGTGAGTGTCACGTCTAGGCCACACCAGGGCCTTCCTCGGGTCGAGGTTATTTGTGCTCCACTTGTTCCCTGGTCTTAGCATGAGGTGTCACTACAGGGTCACTTCAAGTGGCTGTTTCAGTTGCTCTCAGCTTCAGCCTCGATAGTGACTTTATCCTCGTTTGGGGGCTGCAGGAGCAGTCAGCATGACCTTTGGGTTGACATAAGCATATTAAAGTATATTTGGCAGACTCCTAATAGGTTGGAAAATATTAAAAACCAAATGGGTATGCGTTTTACCCGTGAGCTCAATCCTAAGTATTTGAAAGTTCTTTTCTTTTGAGAGCATTTTGTGGATGCCTTGAACACAATGTTAGCTTGTGGGACACCCATAGCTGAGAGGAGACATCGTGACCAACCCCAATTCTGCTTTTTATAGTGGCTGTTCCCCTATGTCTGATACCAGTGTTGTCTGTTATCCTTAGAAAGGCCCAGACTTGATCTGAGCCTGGAGGCTGCTCTGTGTGCTATTCCCCTTTGGAAAATTTCCGGAGTCTCTTAGGGAAGAGGCCACAGCCCCCTCTGCTGACTGCACGGCCACTGGACAGAGATTGGCTTGGGCTTGCACAGTGACATGGACACAAGGTGACTAGCCTGAGTAAGGCCTGGTGTATTGACAGTTGCAGCATCCCGCCCAGACTGTGATAAAAGGAACACTGCCCCCAGGAGTATTGTGCCACTTTCTTTTGACAACTTGTTGCAATGACACATCAGGGCCTCCTCAGCAGATCCGTGTCCACAGTCCTTGCCTGTCAGCTTCCACCCAATGCCAGTGCTCAGCTAAACCTGTTTGTCCCTGGTCACACTGAAATAAATTAGGTTGCATATCTGACCCTGTCAGGGCTTGGGCATTGATGGTTGGGGAGTTGCCCACCCAATATTCACGAGTAAAAGAAGAAGACTTTATATGCCTCACCAAGGTGCAAAACCTCTAAATCAGGGGTCCTCAAACTGCGGCCCGCGGGCCACGTGTGGCCCGCCAAAAACATTTATCCGGCCCACCGGGTGTTTTTGCCGCCGCTGTGTGCATAGGAATTTGTTCATAGTTTTTTTTTAAACTATAGTCCGGCTCTCCAACGGTCTGAGGGACAGTGAACTGGCCCCCTGTTTAAAAAGTTTGAGGACCCCTGCTCTAAATTCTCAAAAGTCCTTCAGCTTCAACTTCTGAAAATGATTAGCCATCTGTACAAGTCATTTTAACAAGTTTTTGTTTAAATTTAATATCCAATTCCACAACAGCATCTTATATTTTTAAAGTCTTCTTGTAAAGTCTGTTATTTGAAACTAGAGTCCCGCTGCACAAAATTTGTGCAGGGGGTAGGGTGTATGTCCCTCAGCCCAGCCTGCACCCTCTCCAATCTGGGACACCTCGAGGGATGTCCGACTGCCCGTTTAGGCCCAATCCCAATCCAGGACTGCTGGCTCCCAACCGCTTGCCTACCTGCCAGCCTGATCACCCCCTAACCTAGCCGTGGGCAAACTATGGCCCGCTTGAAATGAATAAAACTAAAAAAAAAAAAAAAAAAGACCGTACCCTTTTATGTAATGATGTTTACTTTGAATTTATATTAGTTCACACAAACACTCCATCCATGCTTTTGTTCCGGCCCTCTGGTCCAGTTTAAGAACCCATTGTGGCCCTCGAGTCAAAAAGTTTGCCCACCCCTGCCCTAACCACTCCCATACCAGCCTGACCGTTGCCTAACTGCTCCCCTGCCAGCCTGGTCGCTCCCAACTGCCCTCCCCTGCCAGCCTGGTCACCACTAACTGCCCTCCCCTGCAGGCCCAATCCCCCTCAACTGCCCTCCCGTCGGCCATCTTTGACCACATGGGGGCAGCCATCTTGTGTGTTGGAGTGATGGTCAATTTGCATATTACCTCTTTATTTGATAGGATTATTATAAAGGTCGTTGTTATTGGTGCATGATAGACATACAGAAAAGCCCCCAATCTTCAATTTATAGGGAACTCTTGGGGGAAACTGTCCTCAAGGACCATCCTGTGTTACCGTCCTGAAGTATAAGGACAGTCACCACTCCATTCTCCTTCCCAAAGGCAACTGCTCCCCGACACCTAACACCCCAGAGTCATCTCTCCTGCTTCCAAAATGAGTGGGATCATTATCTAGGGGCTCGTGCGTTTCCCTTCTTCGCTTGACACTGTGCTTGCGAAGCCATCCTCACTGGTGTTCATGCGCTTTTACTGCGGATCAGCCCCTCATGGACGCACCGCCATGTGTGTCCCATGCACTGCAGATATTCGAGCTGTTTTCTAATCAGGGCTGTCACAGTAAAGCTGCCATGCACGTCCTTGGACATGTCTCTGGGTGCATATGAGTCCCTGTGATGTCGTATCACTGAACCTTAGGGTAGTGTGTGTTCAACTTTCATACGTGATGCCAGATGGTTGTCCAAGCCTCTGTACCAGTTTTTGCTGCCACCAGCTGTGGGACAGTTGCTGTTGCTCTGAGTCCCCGCCAGCGCTGGTACTGCCATCAGTCACTGCCCTGTCAGCTGGGTGTAGCAGCGCCTCATGGCTCCAACATGTTTCTCTGATTACCAGTGAGATGGGCACCTTTCGCTATTCTCCATTGTTGAAGTGTGCCCATTTGTCTAATGCGCTGTCTTCCTTTCTCTGAATGTGGAGTTGTTCGTTCTATGTCACTCTCCTAACATAAGTTCAGTCCTGATGTAATTTATCTATCCTTCTTAAATTAGAATTAGATTATAATAAAATCTGTACTATTATGCCTATATTGTTTTCTACATTTTATAAATATTTTCTCTTTAAAAGGGGCATTTTTTTGTTCTAAATGTATCTAGCTAGTGTATTCTCTTTATTTTTAGTTTATTTCTCTATTTGTAAGTTCATAGTAATTGTTTTTCTACATAAAATTAACACCTTTTACAATCATTTGTTATTACAGCAGTTTACTTTTTTGTTTAAATATTTTTTAAAATATGTTTTTATTGATTTCAGAGAGGAAGAGAGAGAGAGAGAGAGAGAGAGAGAGAGAGAGAGAGAGAGAGAGAAACCTCAATGATGAGAGGAAATCATCCATTAGCTGCCTCCTGCACGCCCCCTAATGGGGATGGAGTCCAAAACTTGGGCATGTGCCCTGACCAGAAATCAAACTGTGACCTCCTGGTTCATAGGTCCATGCTCAACCACTGAGCCACACTGGCCTGGCCAGCAGTTTACTCTTAAAATAATAAACATTTTCTTCAACTCTGATAGAGCTTCAATGTGAAAAGCACATCAGGAGAGTTTATTCTCCCCATGAGATCTGACTTTTGTGCGATATTTGAAAGTAATGACTAACTGAGTGGCATAGTGATCTGTACCACAGCAATGAGGTGTGGTGATGACTGCAGGCTCAGGGGTGGCCCAGTTGAGATCCAACAGTGAGGACAGAAGGCTGCCAGGAGGAGCTGCACTGTAGACTCTGGTTGGCTGCTAGCACAGATTGGGGCCCTGCAAGGGGCAGATGGGGCACATGGTGTCAGTCACCCTTGTCACTCTCACTGCCTGGCCCACTGGCTCAGATGACACTCCTCTTCTATACCACTGCCTGTCTTATGTGTGCTGACTTCTTTCAGCTGAGGGAACTTCCTGGCTGAGGGTGCAGCCAGGGCACTGACACCATGAGGGATGCGTGAGAGGTGCAGCACGTGGAGCCAGGTGTCCTGGCATGTTTATGTGGATTGGAGTGTGGACAGCGGAATTGTCGTTTCTAAAACTCCCGGTGAGTCTACTGTGTGGCCAGGATGAGAACTGGGAGTCTAGATGATTCCTCTCGCTCTGTGTTAGGAATCTACATAAATTAGACGCTCTGGGGCCTGTCACATGTGGCCTGGCCTACTATACGGGTATTGCCTTCCACTTCAGAGAGCCGCCACCATAGACAACAGCACCAGGCCTTGTCGGGGGCACTGTGAGGGGCTTCTGTTGTGAGCAGGAAGCTTGCATGCAACCCAAAGCCACAGGAGTGCATGCAAGGCTGCTGTTACATGTGGCCTGCCAGGAAGTCCTCTGTCCTCATTCTCCCATGCTCTGCTTGGAGCTCAGTGATCCTACACATTTTTCTTTAGGGGGAGGAAGTCATTTAGGGGGAGGAAGTCATTGATGCTTATCCAAGGATGGATGTTTAACGTATCAGATAGTTGGTCTGTGCCACAGCTAACCAACAAAATACCGGTTTTTCAGAGTGCTTAAAAGCAGCTCATCTAAATTAGTCCTTGTATTTATCAGAATCTTCCAATACAGACAAACAACATCTTAAGCCTCACAAAATATGAAAACCCTTGACTTTAGAAAACATCTTAGATCTGTTTGCAAGTCAGAAACAATCTCTGCAGCCCTTGTGGAGCAACCCCACTCAGCCCAGCCAGAGCGCCGGAGTGTCCTCTGCTTCTCTCCAAGCTCGTCACAGTGTAGCACCGGTGGTTTCCAATGTGTGGATTTGGGTGGTCAGGTTTTATTAGTAGTAGTAAACTGTGTACGGTGTGAGGATTTGGCACACTGGGGTCGGCTCTGCCACCTTGAGTGCGGTCCTGTGCGAAGGCCCTGGCGTTGGCGGCTGTGGCCCTGCCTGTGATCAAGCTCCTGGTTACACACTTGGAAATGCAGGGCACACTGCTGTCCAGATTCTTGTTTTTTAAAATTAATTTCTTTTTAAGTACTTAATTCAAACTTTTGTTACATTTGTAAACATTTACAGTACTTTTAATTTTAAATAATTCTGCAGGTGTTTTTTTTTTTTTAAATTTCTGATACCATTAATACCATTCATTTGAAAGAATAGTGAATTCTCAGAATTTGTGGGAGTTATGGTATCTCAGCATTGATACACGATCTTTAATCAGTTAAGTTTTAGTTAGATTTACTACCTTTAAGAATCTGAACTACACTGTCTCTTAATATAAATTTAAAAGCAAGTCTTTGTTCTCTGAGCAGGTCAGAATGAGCATGTCGACTCTCATCACTGTCCTTTATAATAGCCTGGTTGAGAGTAAGGGGCCTTCACTAGGAAACTCATTTACTTTGTTGTAAAAATGGCTCAAAAGGCTGGAGTTAAGACTGAACATCTGATCCTGAAAGTGATCCATTTGTTCCATTTCCTTCCTCAGAGGAACGTGGAGCATAAAAAAAAGGAGTTAGGTTCAGGCACAGGCAACTGAAGGTAGAAACAGATTTGTTTAATTCATTGTGTCCACCAGCTCATTCTCCAGCCCCTCAGCCTGGGCCCCCACCTGGTCAAGTCCTCCACCCATCTGCTGGACCCCCACCTGGTCAGGTTCTCCCACCCATCTGCTGGACCTCTACCTGGTCAGGTTCTCCCACCCATCAGCTGGGCCCCCACCTGGTCAGGTTCTCCCACCCATCTGCTGGGCTCCCACCTGGTCAGGTTCTCCCACCCATCTGCTGGGCCCCCACCTGGTCAGGTTCTCCCACCCATCTGCTGGGCCCCCACCTGGTCAGGTTCTCCCACCCATCTGCTGGGCCCCCACCTGGTCAGGTTCTCCCACCCATCTGCTGGATCCCTACCTGGTCAGGTCATCTCACCTATTTGATGTGTCCCAAAGTGGTCTAGATCCTCCCACCTATCTGCTTGGTCCCATCTGGTTTACTGTACTTCATATCTCTCTTCCTATTTATCTTTTATTTACCTGCCTTTTCTTTAGACAGCCCCCTGCCCCACTCCACCCTGTTGTATGAGACTTTGTCTCTCTTATGTTGGCCGGATCAGTACTAGCACATAGTAAGGTCTCTATAAATCCTCTCAAATGAATAAATGATAATGTACATGAATTATTTTAAAAAGTAGAAATTTTGAGACATTTGGTTTTTGTTTATTGAAGAGGCGTTATTGATTCCAGAACTTCGATTTATAGTGGAAAAATCCTTTGAGAGGTGAGTACATAAATCAGAACCAGCAGCTTCCTTTTTGAATTGTATCCTCATGAAGTACAAAGAAAAAAAGAAGATTTCCTTTGCACTCAAAGTCGCAGGTCTGTGCCTTGGCATTACTTGTTTGCTGCAGTCAGGCCTGTGGGGAGCTGAGAGGACGTGCATTTGGGTCATGCGCACTGGCCCCTGTGAGGAGGGACCCGTAACTCAGGCCCCAGCTAAAGGTGGCTGGAGGAGGCCAGTCGGGGTCACTCCTGTGACCACATCACCATTGGCCACTTCTTCTAAAGTAGACTTGGTTGGACAGGTCAGGGAGGCACTGCATCATTTGTTTAGTTCATTTAGCTGGGTAAGGAGCCTTTCAGATCATTTTAAAGATGAGGAAGTGTTCTTTGGAGAGTTGGGTTTGTTTTCCTTCATGAGAGCCTGGTACGGTGCCCTCTCCCACCCTTGAGCAGGTCAAGGAGCCATGGTGCCTGCAGCTGCCCTGTAGCCCCTCAGCCCTGCAGACACCCCTCCTCCTATGAGGATCCTTTCAGCAGCTCAGGGGACAAGGGCATCTCGGTGTCCCAGCTTGGTGGGTACTTAGCATAAATGGGCCATCGTCTCCACTGGGCAGTGCATGTGCCCTGGCCACACCTTCCTGCCCTTAGTTGTTACTGGGATTTATTGTGTGCCCTTCCTGCTGGGGGTGGGCATTTGTTCTTTGCCTTTCTCGGAGTTCAGGAGCCCATGATGCAAGCTTGAGGGTGTGGCCAAAGCAGGGAGAGGCAGTGACTTCCTAAATGAGAAATGTGTGAGGTTCTCTCTATTCCTAGAGCGCTTACAGGTAAGAAATACCATCCCTCCCATAAAGGGAAAGTGGATCCATGTGAATAGGTATTTCTTGAGGTTAGGCTAGCTAACAGGGATTCTCATTTGTTGGAAATTTTTGGGATGTGTTCTTATCCTGCTCAGTGAAAACTCTGCTTCTCGTCTTGCTTTCCATTTCTCCTTCTGAGACAGCAGGTGTAGAAGGACCTGAAGGTTATGTCCTTTGACTGGCCATTGGGGTTGTCTTCACCCTCTTCCTCCTCATTATCATCATGCAGTTTGATCACTTTCCTGCAGTGCCAGTGGCACTAAAACATGCCAAGTACTGAGAGATAAAGTGCTAATCCCAACTATTGATAAAGATGTAGGGGACCTGCCCCTGGTGTGTGGCCAATAGGAAGTCACAAGTATTTAAAGGCATTTGGAAGATGTTCCAAGGACTATAATATTAAACTTGTTAGATGTCCTCATTTTGATGGTCTCTCCTAAGCACTAATTCTTCACATGGACAGTGTTACTGACTCATACATGTTCTTTGCAGCGTGGTTTCTAACCACAACAAAGGAAAATCTAAGGATGCCCCATAGTCAGGACTTGATTTTGTAAACTCTCTTTCACTCACTGTGGGAATGTTTTCCCACCATGAAAATGCTGTTTGAGTCTATACAATGATGGGGCATACTTAGGCCCATCATTGTTGGGGGATGGACACAGATTCTGAGTAATCAATGGCAGCTCTGAGGAAACAGGGTAGATGTTCACAGGTTGGGTGTGGGAGTGTGAGTTTGGACTTTAATTTCTGTGTGTCTCTTTTGAGATTAGCTTGTTTGTGCTACTTTCAAGACACCCCAACAGGGGACACCAAGAGGCTCTTGTCCCTTGAGCTGCTGGAAGGAACCTCACAGGAGGAGGGGCATCTGCAAGGTTAAGGGGCCTCCAGGGCAGCTGCAGGCACCATTGACCCTTGACCTGTTCTATGGTGGGAGAGGCTATGGCCAACCAGCAGCCCAACAAACCACAAAGCTCATGACCTTGACTTTAGTCCAGTTGGTGAAGTACTCTCTGCCTCAGTAGCTGCAAGGCTGGAAGAAACAGAAATGTGCATTCGATATTATGTGTTATATATAATGTTGATATGATTGCAAAGGAACCTGCTGCCTTATGGGTTCAGGAGTGTGGCAGCCTGCCCAGGATGCAGGCTTCATCCCTGCTGCCGTTGCCATGGGAGGGACGTGTTGGTGTGTACAAAGCTTCTGAGATTCTGCCTCTAGTGCTGTAGTGAGAAAGAAATCACTCTGCTGCCAGTGCTCAGTCCAGAACTTTTTTATTTATTTATTTTTATTTTAGAGAGGAAGGGAGAGGGGAACAGTCATGTGAGAGAGAAATATCTATCGGTTGCCTCCTGCACTCACCCTGACTGGGGAGGATTCAACCTATAACCTGGGTATGTGCCCTGACCGGAATCGAACCTGTCATCCTTTACTGTACAGGACAACATTCCAATCAGCTGAGCCACCCAGCCAAGGCCAGAATGTTCTTTTATGTAAGAACTAGAGGCCCAGTGCATGGATTCATGCACCAGTGGGGTCCCTCGGCCTGGCCTGTGCCCTCTCGCAATCTAGGACCACTCAGGGGATGTCGGACTGCTGATTTCGGCCCAGTCCCCACAGGCCAGGCCGAGGGACCCCACTGGTGCACGAATCCATGCACCAGACCTCTAATATGCATATAAGATCTTTAGTTAATGTCTTCCCACCCTCCCTGCTTCCCTCTGAGATTTATCAGTCTGTTCCATGTGTCCATGCCTATGCGTTGAGCATCTGCCCCCCTGGTGGTCAGTGTACATCATAGCTACCGGTCAAATGATCGCTTAGGCTTTTATATAGAGAGAGATATTAAAGCTTCCTTAAGATGTGGGTTTGTGTGAGGGGATAGTCTGTCCCCATATTGATTGCTTCTGCACGTCTGGTAGAATGCAGTTATGTAAAAATCCTTGGCGGGAAGAGGACCTCTTATTAAAGCTTCTTCTGCCTTCTCCTTCCTTCAAGAAGCTTCCTTGGTGTCAGCAGCCTCCTGAATTACAATCTCAATGTCTCCAGCCCCTTTATACCATTTCAGGGCAGAGCCTCCAGTCACTGCCTTGTGCTTTCTCCCACGCCAGGTGCTGTGGCCAGCACAGAAGTGAAGATGAAGTTGCAAGAGTTTGTCCTCAATAAAAAGAAGGCGCTGGCCCACCGGAGCCTGAACCACTGTATCTCCAGTGATCCTCGCTACTGGTATGGGTAAGTGGGGTGTGGGCAGGGCCCCAAGCATGCAATCTGTGATAGATTTGAGTGGCACCAGTTCTGCTCCTGGAAGGCAGTGGGAGGGTGTGGAATTAGACACTCCCAAGACAAATAGCAAAAATGCTATGAAGGACAAGGTCTGGTGGTAAGACGCACTGCAGTCACCCAGAGGAGCGTGGCCCTCTCTTAAAATGACCAGAGCTGGGGCCTGCCCATCATTCTTGGCTTTCCTGGTCTTCTCAGGCCACAAAAGGATCCACTTCAAATGGAACTCTGGTCTTAATTGTCCATAGGCACCTTCTGAATCTCTTCCCCAGGTGTTATTGATTCTTAGGGAGTCAGTAAACCCCTGCAGTGTGTTTATTATTTTTACGTAAGAGCCTCTGCCAGAGCCTGCACAATGACAGAGACCATCAAAGAGCCTGCTCATGCTGGAAGCCGAAAGTCCTGACCTTGTCAGTGGTGATGCCATGTGCAGGGGGAATGTTCTGTCAGCACAGTTCCAGGGCGCTGGCCGTGGACACAGGCCAGGTTTGAAGGGCGTGGCGAGCTTGTGGCTTTTAACACTGACCAAGGTGCTTCACAGATGTTTGCTTATATTTAGGTTTCTAATGCCCGCCCGGGTAATTTCATGTTGGGAGAAACCCATAGGGTAGTTTTGATAAATCAAAATGTGACTACCATTAATTTCATTGGGAAAAAATGTAGCTGTCCTCAAGCTCCAAAGTACTAAAACACCAAATCCCATTGAGGTAACCCCACTTATTCCCTTAGATGACATATCAGGTATCTCAATGCAACCTAAAGGCATTTTGTCCCCAGGCCCTTTTCTGCTCCCCTTGGCTCGCTGTGACTGCTCATTGCTGGGACACCAGGCTGTGCTCATGCCATGACCTGCTGTGGTATTTATACAGCTCAACCAGTGACAGTCACACAGGAAGGAAGGCCATGGGGGTTCATGCAAAGTCATAACAAAGTCCTGAGCCCTTAGCAACTTGAGAGGGGTGGGTTCGTTAGAAGTGCTGGGGCAGTGCACTTGGAGACCCCACATTTGGTAGCACCAGTCTGACCTGTGGTCTCTCCACTAGTAATAGTCACAGGTTTTGTCATGGGAAAGATCCACTGTCTAGGCTGGGGTGGCAGGTGGATGCTGGCTGAGTGAGGGTAGCAGTTGGGAAATGGCTGTGGTGGTGTCCATGGAGCTGAGCTGGGGGCAGCAGTAATGAAGCTGGGTTGGGGTGGGGTGGGCTCAGGGATCAGGAGGCACAGAGAGGAACCTGGACTATAGACCTGTAAGGGCAATAGCTGGAGGGAGGCTGAGACAGCTGGCAAATAACCTTAAAAGAGATGAGGAGAGGTGAGGAGGCCCCGGGAACCTATCCAGAAGAGGAGCAGTGTCAGCGAGGTGAGCCCAGGCAAGTCAGAGTGGGAGGCATGGCTTGAGCACATCAGGGTTGTTGGATGGCAGCCACAGGGCCCTGGAGGAGGGTTAGGGTAACTGTGGTACTAGGAGAGACTAGGTGGGTAGGAGTAGAGGCCATGGTGGTGGGCTGATGGATGAGGGGAGCATGGAGGCCACAGGCTGGGAAAGTGCATCACCTGCATCCAGGAGGCTGCAGAGAACGGGTGGCCTCTGGCAGAGACAGGGCAGGAGCTGTGAGGTTGGAAGTGTAGGGGCTTCTAGGGAGGGGTCCACAAGGAGTGTCTGGGAGCAAGGAAGGGAAGAGGACAGGACTTCGGGGCTCACCTGTCTGGCAAGTGGCTGCCCCTAGGATACACTGTAAAACTGATTCGGTAGAGGGTGTTAACCCCCAGACCTTGAATGACATTGTGGGAGATAGTCCCTGGGGTGAGGCCTTAGGGGTCTTAGTACAACTGCAGGTTACAGGAGGGCTTTGTGCCTGAAGGAGAGGTGACCCATGATGAGGTTGCAGCTGGCCCATGGGTGCCCCTGTCCCAGCCTGGACTCCCAGCCCAGGCCGCAGGTGGTCCCCTGGAATATGAGAACGTCCTGATGGAGTTTTGTCCCTGTAGCAGTGGGGCGTGGCCTGGCCGGGCTGGTGCCAGGCACTCGATGGACCAGCCCTGCTCATTGACCTGGTCTCCGTAAGAGACACTTTCTTTACACTGCTTTGCTCTTGAACATTCAAATATCCACCTGTAAGCACTTAGAAGCTCACATTCTTAATTCAAATAGCAGCAGGTGCATGGATAAGAAGTCCTGTGTATTCAAATAAATAGTCTAACAAATTCCAAATAAGTTTGGCAAATTTGTTTTCAGTCATTAAGCAGATTACACAGTTTGAATTTTACAGAATTCATTACACCTCTGGTGCTTCCACAAGACTCAGCTGGCAGTTCCACTAGGACAGAGCTTGCTAATGGTTGTCCGGAGGGCAGCCAGCACCCTCCCTCTGAGGCCTTCCTCTCCCCTGAGCCTCCTTGTGGCAGCCTGCCTGCCAGCCATTTTAAGGATTCTGCGTTCTGCATGGCTGTTCATAAAGAAGTAAATGTATAGATCAACTCCAGGGCAGCCTGTCCCTCCCCACAGAAGGAAAATGTCTGCAGTGATTGTGTCCTGGTGGAGGCATAGGTGAAAGCTGCAGGTTCTCTGCTGGAGGGAAGTACCACGTGGCTTCTGCCCTCAGGGACCCACAGACAGCTCCAGCAGTCATCCCAAAGCCCTCCCATTTCCCCTCACAGCCACTCCCAATCACACCTTTGGTTTCTTACACCTGGAGCCCACCTGTCTGCCCCAGGGCCCTGTCCCCCCAGGACAAGCCCCTCTGTCGGTGGTGACCCTGGTGGCCAGAGTACAGACGAAGTCAGGAGCCACCTGAGAGCAGTGGCCTGGCAGAGACTTCTCAGCACCGGGTCAGGTGGCGGAGGTGTGGTCACATGATCTGCCTCTCTGTCAGTGTTGGTTTTGGTTTCCTTTCAGGCTGGCCCCAGAGAGGAGGCTGGTCTGCCCAGGAGGCCATCAGCTGAGCTGGAGCTGATGTCAAAGCGGGGACCATTCATGGGGACAGTGTCTCGGACTTCGGTGCGGCTTGCTCCGAGGAGCCAGGCTACACTGGGTCCATGCCCCACACTCACTAAGCCATGTCTTTGCATGTCATCCCCAGGAAAACGCAGCACAGCTCCCTGGACCAGAGCTCCCCGCCCCAGAGCGGTGTGTCGGCCTCCTACAACCACCCGGTCCTGGGCATGTATGACGCCAAAGACGACTTCCCTCTCAGAAAAACAGGTCAGTGTCCCTGTCTGATGGTGTGAGGATGGGGTGGGCTCTGTACCTGCACCCTCCATATCCCCAAGTCCACCTGGCACTAACAGGAAGCCCTTGCTTATTTTAAATAGGTGCTACTTTATTAGAGCATCATTTTAAACAATATTCTTAAGTATTCCTGTGTGATTCATACCAAAAGCAATGAACGTCTTGTATGTGCACCTACTTTTTAACCCTCAAGCTCATTTGTAAACATGCAAACTTACTCTTCTTTTGGTGGTGTGCTGTACTTTGTCCCAGTCTAGAGTGTCCCCTGGTGGGTGTGGGATCACAACTGCTCCTGTGATGGGCCTCGAGGTCTTCTATTGTTGGCTGTCAGTGCTGTCTCTGGGCAGAGCCCACGCTGCGGGGGTGGTCGGGGCCCTGGAGTTGGGGGAAAAGCTGTATGAGAAAGAAATCAGGGACATTGCAGGGGGAGGTCTTAGGGGTTTGAGCAGCACCTTTGTAACAAGCCAGAGGGGAGCAGCACCTCTGTCACAAATGTAAACAGGGTGCCGGGCCTCTTGGACTTTCTGCAGCATTGGTGGTTTAAGCAGGCAGTGGCGTTTAAGAAGATGAGAGTGGCCTTGGCAGTGCACTGGGGCTGAGGAAGGGGAGGGCTGGAGCAGGAGGGCCGTCCAGAGCTCTGTCTCAGGGAGGCCAGGGCCTGAACAGCAGCAGAGCCTGGGCCACAGGGCAGTGTGGGTAAGTGGGGACACCTGCTTAATGGGAATAGTCTGCTGTGCAGCTGTGTTTTTGTAAAAACAAACTTTGTGTTATCAAGAAGATTTCAGTTAATTCGGGACAGAAATGTTTTAAAGCAGTCACACCCCAGGTCTTTTACCCCAATGATGAGGCATTGGGGGTGGGGGCTCACCTGCCAGCCTACCCTAAGACTGAGATGTGGGGCCTCTCAGTAGGTGGAGCTGTGCCCAGAGAGGGGTCAGACCAGGATGCAAAGTTGCAGGGAAGGAGGTTGAAGCTCAACCTCAGCGAGACTTGACTAGCAGTCGAAGTGTGTGAGAGGAAAGGGCCACAGCAGTACAGCCATGTCCCTGGTGCTGACCCCAGAGCCTTGACTAGATGTTGGAGCCCCTCCCAGCCAGAGGTGGGGTCCTGCAAACAAGTGTAAAACCTTTAATGCTGAAGGTGGATGTGGGGCTTCTGTCCTTTCCTCTTTACTTTGAAGGTGTGGTTCTCACTCATCATCTGCCAAGAATGATCTTGAGTTCCCCTAAAAAGAGCGTCCACCAGCTGGACAGAAAGAAATGTCTGTCAGGGTCTGGGGCCCACCCTCCAATTGCCCTTCACAGCCCCCTTAGGAGCTGTAATTAACCAAGTGCAGACGTGCAAAGCTGGAGTCCATGGTGAGTGGCGTGCACCGGGCTGGGAGGGAGACCCAGGCCAAGGCCCTGCCTCATGTGCTGAGTGTGCTTGGTGCCCAGGGAGCTTAATCAAGAAATGACTGCACTGTCAGTTATCAAAAGACATCAGTAGCACATCAATAATATTAATAATACGAAGATTTCAGGGAAAATGTTTAAATGAGATCTTGCAGTGAGATGTCCTGTGTCATCCTACAGGTGTCTTCTTTCAAACACTGGACATCTAATTAATTCTAAATAATTTACACCTACATTTCTGTGGAAACAGTCAGTTATGTGAAACTCTTTAAATGAAATGTTAGTTACAAAATGCCTTGGATGAATTAAAATGATCACCTCTAACAGGTGTGATGTACAATTAAATAATCCCATGATTTTACCTTTAATTTCTGTTGCCCTTCCCACAATGTGTGAGCATGTAACATATGTCCTCAATCTCACTGCACTCCACACATCCTGCTCTCCTGCCTGGGCTTTGGTGGCTTCTATGGGTGACACTCTCACCTGTCCTGTCTCAAGAGAAAAGCCCATCCATCTGTCCGAGTATTTGCATCCTCAGGGGAGTTAGAGCACCCTGCCTGCCCACCTGCCTAATAACTAGGGAGCTCTTGGCCTCCTATGCCTCCCTCAGATAGCCTCCAGTGACAAGCATCTGCTTGTGTTTTCCTGAGCTGTTAGGGCACTCTTGATCCTTTCCCCAGCCAGTGACCCATTCTGGCCAGACTTCTCACCCTCAGCCCTTTCCTCAATGCCAGAGTCAGAAACCTAGGGAACCACAGGACACCCCTTGAGAAGACCTCACTGAAGGAAACACTAGCATTTATAGCCAGAAGTCTGGACATCAAGGCATGCCTTGTTCTACTGGGATGTCAGGTTTCATCTTCTAGCCCTGCCCCTTTCCCAGGGATTGACAGGAGTTGTCCTCTACCTTCAACCAGAATATGAGGGGTCATTTCTAGACAGGGGTACAGAGCAGGTGAAGTGGTGCCCACCCCCATTGGGTCTTCTGGGTGGAGCCTCAGGGGCTGCCCTAACCCTGGTTTTCTGATCCTTTTCAAGTCCAGCAGTGGCAGATGTCCTAGAAGTGTCGACATCCCCAGCACCTGGTCCGTGGGGCAGCAAACGACTTAACCTGAGATTTCCGTGAAGTACAGCATTTGGTTCTACATTCATACTGAGGAAAGCAGGCTCTTCCCCTTTAAAAGCAGAGTTTTGTCACAGTGATGGTGCATAGGGATGTTATTGTTCTCCAGTAGCATCTTGGTCATTCTATTTCTGAAGATACTGGCTGCTGAAAAATCTATCCTATCTAATAAAGAGGGAATATGCTAATTGACTGCCCCACCCTCAAATATGGCAGTGTCCACAGTCAATAAAAAGGGAATATGCTAATTGACTGCCACACCCTCAAAGATGGCAGCACCCACAGCCACAAGATGACTGGCAGGGGAGGACAGTTGGGGAGGGCCCAGGCTGGCAGGAGAGGGCAGTTGGGGGCAACCGGGCTGGCAGGGGAGCAATTAGGCATTGATCAGGCTGGCAGGGGAGTGGTTAGGAGGTAATCAGGCTGGCGGGCTGAAGTGGTCAGGGGCAATCAGGCAGGGAGGCAGGCAAGCAGTTGGGAGCCAGCAGTCCCAGATTGTGAGAGGGATCCCAGATTGGAGAGGGTGCAGGCTGGGCTGAAGGACAACCCCCCCCCCCCAGTGCATGAATTTCATGCACCAGGCCTCTAGTATATATAGAAGTCTAAGCAACAGACCGACCATTTGACCAGCCAACCAGTAGCTATATGCCCACTGACCACCATGGGGGCAGATGCTCAACTCAGGAGCAGAAACCACAGGCATGGAAACATGGAACAGACTGATGAAGGGAAGGGGGGAGGGGGGAGGGCGGGAAGTGATTAACCAAAGATCTTATATGCATGCTAGAGGCCTGGTGCACACACGGATTCATATATGGTGGGGTCCCTCAGCCTGGCCTGCGCCCTCTCGCAATCCGGGACCCCTCAGGGGATGTCAAAAAGCTTGTTTCAGCTTGATCCCCACGGGCCAGGGCTGGGGACCCCACCAGTGCATAAATCCGTGCACCAGGCCTCTAGTTGTTTCATAAAGACTTGTAAATGTGACTTCCGATTGATGAAAAAAGACCAGAACCACAAAACAATCTGTTGTCATCTCACCACAATCCTTTTCCCATGTTGTCCATGACTCTGGGACCTCAGAACAGTTTTGCGCTGCATGGAGCCTGCTTGTTCAGGACCCCACCTGGCTCTCCAACACAGTGGCCACTCTCCCCAGCAGGAGACCAGCTGGCTGGCATGGGCATACTGTCTTCCCCGTTTGTTGTACAAAGCAAATCCCAGGCTTTCCTCAGCCTCGTGGAGAATTGTTGCAGTGAGAAAGGCCAGCCTGGGAAAGGAACCTGTGCTCCCAATGGTCCCTGCACCATGATGGGCCCGGCAGCAGACCCACAACTTGGCTTCTAGCCTGGATTCACTACTGCAACCCAGGTTCCTGCTCCTCCTTCTAGAACATTCATCCAGCTCTGCACCTCTCCACATGGATGGCCCCGTTCGCAGTGGCTCACGAGAAGTATCAGTTGACTGCTGCCATGGGAAGCCGGATGGGTTTTCCTCTGTCACTGGCTGAAGCTGTCTTGCTGGGCGAGGAAGAGCTCCATAGTTAGCCGTGCCCTCACCGGGTGACGTGGGCAGATGACCCCACCAAGCGCATTTGCCCATCTTTAAAATGGAGCAATAGTGCTCTTTAAAAATGGGCATGAGTGTGTTCAGGGGGTTTTAAAGAAGACTTTGTTGTGCTTTTCCAAAGAAACTCTTAGGGATAGCGAGTGTTGTTCAATACTAGGCAGCTTGTACACTGGGAAAGTGGCTCACACCTTGTTCTGTGTTCAGCCTTCAAACCGACATCTGTCAGACTTGACCTCCTTTCAGTATGAAAAGTGCCCAATGAGATCTTGTGCTGATCTGCAGGTTTCACTGTTCAGTGGGAAAGCTGCCCTGAGCCCAGTTGAGTAGGGCAGGGGGTTTAGGAAACCCACCACCTTGAAGCAGCATCACATAGAGTAAATTTTTTAATATGAAATATTACATAAGTAAAGCATGCTTATATTAAATTAACACACAAAAGTATGGACCCCGAGTCTTATTTCCCAAGGCAGCTACTGCCAATAGTTTGTTATCTGCAGACAGTTTAGAGCCTGTGTGTTGGGTGTGTGTGTGTGTGTGTGTGTATGGTATATATAGCTGGCTTTTTTGTTAAAATACCTGCTGTGCATTTTGTCCTGTAACTCATTTTTTCAGTTAATCTTATAGTGGAGGCACCATTCCATGTGAGTGTATAAAGATTAATACCTGATTGGTCAGGGGTGGCCTGGGTTCTAGGTACAGAAGACTTAGGAACCACCATGGGCTTAGAGTCCCAGGTTTGCGAATAGCTCCGTCTACACAAGCAGAGCTATGAATAAAAACCAAACCAAGCCGAAACACCTGTGGCCTGTGTTCAGGTGAACTAGGATGTTGAGACCTGGCTTGATTAACCCTCATCCCAGTGGGGTTGGTGTTAGTGACTTTCACAGAGGACACAGGTGCTCCAGCAGGCAGCTTGCTTCTGGTTTTGTGATACGTGGTAGGTGAGCAGGAAAGTGTGTAAAGTGTGTAAGGTCAGAATAATGCCCATGGGACAAAGCCCCAAAAAGCCCAGTTCTCAGTTTTCTTCCCCTCTGCTGGTAAGGCACAGTTACAGCATTATTTTTGATGACACCACTGACACAAGTTTATAATCCTATATGTGAAGAAATGTAGCCAAAGGCATCAGATGTGTTTTACTCGCTGTTTGATTGAAAATACTCTGCCCACAGGCCTCAGGATAGTGCCTTCACTCCGCTGTTAAGCAAATATTTACCCAGTGTGCATATTTTTAACCACCACAAAATAACCCTGACCCAGGTTGTGTCTGTCTGGCTGTAATGACGTCTCCTTTTCATGCAGCTTCAGAACCCAATCTGAAATTACGGTCCCGGCTAAAGCAGAAAGTGGCTGAGAGACGGAGCAGCCCTCTGTTGCGCAGGAAAGATGGGCCTGTGGTCACTGCTCTAAAAAAGCGTCCTTTGGATGTCACAGGTATGTTAGAAGAGAGTTTAAACCCCACTGCCTGCCCACCAACCCAGCACCACCTTCTCCATGAGGCTCTTTCTTTAGCACCTCTGAGGCTGAAGCCCACCCTGCACACCTGTCCCTGCTCCGGCATTAGTCACTAGGCACAGGGAGCACGACAAAGCTAACAGGGCAGGAGAGGTCTGCAGGAATTCAGATTGAGGTTACTCTGAAGGTGGGGTTTTAACTCATCCTGCCCTGTTAGTGGGGAGTCACGCGTGTCTGACCTGCTCCAATGCTAGAACCACTAGAGCATCAAAATGATTCAGCAAGGGGCCAGCAGGTAGGCAGAAGAGAAATGGGGAGCTCCAGGTCTCCACTTTCTCGTAATGAGTGCATTGCTCTTGGATCCCACCTAGTGGTGGAGACGCAGAATACACCCACTGGGCAGAGACCCTTTCCAAGTGCCCATCCCTTCACAGGGATATACCCCAGGTCCCCTGTTGCACCCCAGTCCTCAGGAGCACCCCCTTACAAGAGTGAATCCCCTATCCAAGATATACCCCACCTCGAGGCACACCCCGCTTCCTGGGGGTGCACCATGTCATGAGGGCGCACGTCCACATTCCTGAAAGCACAGGACAAAGAAGTTGCTTAGAGGTAGCCTGGAAAGCGGGGGGGGGGGTGGGGGCATTTGCACCAAGTACAGTGTTGGATTGAAAACCAAGGCTCTCGGGACCAGGAGGGCGCCTTCGGCGTTGGTCCTCCCTATGTGAGTGGCCACATCTCACACTCTGAGTCCCAACACCTTCGGGATGAGATAAGTACCTGGAGCCCTGCCCCGCTGCTCTTGAGGTTCCTCCGCCCAGGGGAAACCCAGCCTAGAGCCTCCCTCCACATATTTGTGGATTAGTGTAAAAGAATCTGGGGAGCCGTTTTTGTCTTTGTCTTCCTTTTTCAATGTGGGGTCTTTCCTCTAGTTGTTCTAGTGTAGAGGCCTCATTTAAAGAAATGAAGAAACGTTGTCTGAAGTCCCTCTTGGTTTCACCAGCTTGACGCTTCTGTGTGAATTAGAGAATCCCGTTATGTTAAAGCACTTGTGTGCCCACGGGCACAGCCTGGTTTCCTCTGAGCAGCACCTTGGTCGGGGCCAGCTCTAAGGCCAGCGTTTATTTCTAGCCACACTGTTGGGGAGATGGAACTGTCCCCGGGCTTCTTTCTGAGCATTAGAGTGAATGTCATGTCAGCCATGACTGCTGATGCTACTGTGAGTCAGGACCTGGCTGGTCACAAAAACGACTCAGGTCCTCGCTGCCCAGGAGCTTTCGATCTAATTCAAGAGACTAGACCAGCTGTGGGCAAACTACGGCCCGCGGGCCGCATGAATAAAACTAAAAAAAAAAAGACCGTACCCTTTTATGTAATGATGTTTACTCTGAATTTATATTAGTTCACACAAACACTTTTGTTCCGGCCCTCCGGTCCAGTTTAAGAACCCATTGTGGCCCTCGAGTCAAAAAGTTTGCCCACCCCTGGACTAGACCATCACTCTGAGACAAGTAGCAGACTGGGTGTGCAACTCCTGATTGACACTGAGTGTGTTTCATAGAAAAAGCACCCAAAGGAACCTGGGCCAGGACATGAGGGAAGCTGCACAGGCCAGAAAAAGCTTGAGGGACAGGTGCAGGTGTCCTAGGCAGCATGGCCCCAGTGGCTAGAGGGGCCCATGCTCTGAGCAGAGCTGACTTCCCAGCAGACAGGACCTGTTGGTGGCCATGGTCATAGGTTGGGGCAGAGAAAGCAAGTTCTGTGTTCATGGCCGCTCCCCTGGAACTCAGAAGGCCAACTGGACAGAACACCTTCCTCTCTTCTGTCAGCAGCACGAATGGAGCCCTCTCCCCACGAGCAGTGTGCAGCCACTGTACCTTCACAGTTACTCACACAAGCTGTAGTGTGTGTTTCCGCATAAGCCAGATCAGCCGCAGAAACTACAAGCTCTGCTTTCCCTGGACCTCGATGTAACTCAGGAAGGATGAGAGGATGTGTTCAAAGTGGACACTAATGGTGCATGGCTTTCCTGGTGACCACAAGTAACCTTTCCCTGCTCTCAGTCATTGGGCTTGTGTGTTTCCTGGCCTTTTGTTTAGAATATTAATTAGTGTCCAAGGGCTTGTCTTTCTGGTCTTTAAGATCATCTGAAAACACAAAAGAGAAATAAAATTGATAATGTGTACAGCTCAAAAGTCTCAGCTGTGGCATCCACAGAACTGAAAGGTTGGCAAAGCTAAAAATGGGGAGTGGGCTGCACAGTGCTGTTTGGGGACCCTGGTCATGTTCTCTCCTGCTGGAGTTTGTCCACATGCTGGTGAGCAGCAGCTCAGGCCCCAGTCAATAGGTGAGTCCTATGACTTTCCTGGGACTTGAGCCAAGTATGGCTGACAGCATGTCTTTCCACTACAGACTCTGCATGCAGCAGTGCCCCCGGCTCCGCACCCAGCTCGCCCAACAACAGCTCCGGGAGCATCAGCACGGAGAATGGGATCGCGCCCGCCGTCCCCAGCATCCCAGCCGAGGTCAGTGTCCCGCTTTCTGTTTGTTTCCTGCCGGCCCCGAGGCAGGTTCAAAGAGCTGATTTGCTTGAGGTGACTGCATCTTACAGTTGTCCTTCAGACTTGACTGTCCAGGTCGTGGTGAGGGAAACTGAAGAGCGAGGCAGCCTGCAGAGCACTGGTGTGGACTTCATTGTCTGCCACTCATCACTCGACCTCCTTTGCATAGGGACTCAGGAGTTCCCAATACAAGAGTCATGGTCAAAGAACATTTCCGCACCCCCTCTTTCCTCCTGGGCTCTTCAGAACACATTAGATCCATCCTCCACATGAACCACATGCCAGTGGTGCCAGCTGCCCGTAACCTCATGGCACAGGGCTCTGTGTGCTGGTTGGGAACAGGAGCCCATTGGATGGGAATGAAAAAACTTGTGGCTCTAGCCAGTTTGGCGCAGTGGATAGAGCATCAATCTGCAGACTGAAGAGTCCCAGGTTTAATTCCGGTCAAGGGCACATACCTTGGTTGCAGGCTTAATCCCCGGTCCTGGTCGGGATGCACGCGGAAGGCAACCAGTCGATGAATCTCTTTCACATCGATGTTTTCTCTATCTGTCTCTTCCCCTCCCTTACACTCTCTCTAAAAATCAATGGAAAAATATCCTCGGGTGAGTATTAACAACAACAAAAATACTTGTTGTGTATTGAGAGATACACAGCTCAAAATGTTGGCCCAACAAGGCACATGTACTTGTGTAGGAATGCTGGAGCCACAAGGGGAGGTGGTTAGGGTGTCAGTTAGCATCACGGATTGGGTACAGAGAGGGTTCTGGGATCACTTAGAGGGAACATCAGATGCAGGGGTTGGCAGAGAGGGAAGAAGGGCCTCCTAGGAGAAGAGGTGGATGGCTTCTTCAGCCAAGTGGAGGGCCCCAGGGCCAGCTGCAGGTCATGCCGTTACTTGACCAGACCTGAGTCGAGCGACTATCCAGCAGTAGGTTCCAGGACCTCCACTCTTACATTCATTTCCCTCCATTTATCCCCCAAGTGTCTCTGGAGCACCTATCTTGCCCCAGCCCTGTGCAGGCTCGGGACCTAGGGCGAGGGTCCAGCCAAGGGCCTGCTTCTTCCCGGCTCCTCATGCTGGTGGGGAGAGGGAGTCGAGCGGGCCAGTCTTCAGCAGAGAACTTTGCACTTGCTGAGTGGGGATGTGGGCGGGGATCCATGTGGGGAACCTCCTCGGCATTGAGTGTCTGGCAGACTGAGCCAGAAACACCGTCTGCTTTGTGCCCAGACAGCTCTACTGAGTGGGTTCTGTGTTCTCAGTTCTGACTGACAGGAGGCCATACTTTATTAGACATAGCTTTTTACTTTCCTCCCTAAATAGAAATGAATCCAGCCCTTCCAAAGGGCTGACAGAGTTCTAGACACTATTGATAAGCAGATTTTTGGAAACTAAGATTACTGTTTAATTTGCTTAATCCCCATTTTCTCATCTTTTTCTTTTATACATCTCCTTTTATGACCTTTTCTTTTCAAGCTACCTGTTTAAGTGCTTATTTAGATTATAGAACATTTTGACAGTCCTCCTGGGTGTTCAGGTCATAGCTCAGTGTGGCCTGAAGTTGCGTAGAGCTCAGCCTAGAAATTGCTTCCGGAACAAGATGTCAGGATCATCATGTGGGCAATAGCGATCCTGGGCCCTGATTGTTATTAAAGGTGGGTAGGTATGTACCTAATGCTTCATCTTGTAGGGATGCCTTATTTGGGTGAGTTTACATGGTTCTGGTTTAAAGTATGTGTTAATTTTTCCAAGTCACACGTTAATGTAAATTAAGCTAGTGCAAATTAATAGAAGATGTAGGAGGGTTCACAAGAAATGTTAAAAGGATTGGCAGGGTAGTCTTAGAATATGTGAGGGTATGTAGGTGTCCTTTTTGAGGATTGGACAGTTCCCTGAGAGGCACAGAGGCTTCCCAGTCCAGAGGCTGTGTAGGATCCTTGTGTGGGAGGGAGGCAAGGGACCCCTGGACGGCGTGGAGCTCAGCCTCACTATACCTTGTCCCCCTTTATACAGAGGATGCAGAGCTCCCCGTGCCACAGACAGCGGCTCCGTCCAGTTCAGAAGGCTAGATGTGATTGAGGCACGCCTATGACTAGGGTGTGCCTCATGATTGGGGTGTGGCTGGCAGGGTGGTGCCACAGGCACTCTGACCCCAACCCTGCACGTATGCAGAACTGAGAAGCTGACAGAGACATTGACACTGAAAATGCGGGCAAGTCAGCCTACCAAGTAATTCTGAGGCAGCTTTATTTCTAAAAATAACTTAGGTTAAAAAAAAAATATCCTTGGTTATAAAGAGGAAGTTACAACCTTGGAAACATTAGAACATCTCTTCATTCTTGGAGAATCTCAGTTCAGTGGAACCATGGTTTCCTTGGCAGTCGCAATCATGTTCCCTAAAACATAGCTTGTTAGTATTTTACTTCTAACAAAATTGCTTTGTGTGGGAAGAGCGCTTTCACAGTCATCCTTTCATCATTACTGTACCATTGACTACATGAGTGACTACAGGTAGCTGTACAGGTAGCTGCAGCCAGTCTCCGGAACAAGACGTGCTGTTTCCTTCCTCGTGAGGAAAGCCGTTCCATCCTGTTCTGCCTTTAGCACAGAAACAAAGTGTATGTTTCTTGATGACATCAAAATATGACACCATCAACATAGCCACCTAGGGAATCTGCAAGGCAGAGATGTTCACTCTGAGAGTGGGCACTTGTCCCTGCAGGCTGGCAGGCTGCAGTCAGTGACCACTATCTGCAGTAACGTGTAACAGCTTTCAGTCCACAGCTTTTCCCCTGGAAGTGAAATGGTTCTCATCCTTGATTATGTTGTTCACTGTGGGAAGGATGGGAGGAAGTCAGGATGTTCATCCCTCACGTTATTTTTCATCTTGCAGACTTCTGCCACCCCCACCTTCGTGTCCCATGGCAAAGTCACCTATTGGTGGTTTGCTCATTGGCTCGGCACACATTTGCTGTGCAGGGATGTGCTGGTGAATATGTTTTTTATCAAAGAAGGTTTATTCTAGAAGCAGAAGATGTTAAATATCTCAGTGCTTCAACTCCTTGCAGACTGCTCACCCTTTTCTGACTGCCCTTCTAGTCCTCACTTTTGCTGTACACTTAAATAGTCCAAGTCTTCTTTTTAAAAAGTGTAAGATTTTGTAACTTGTTTTTCTAACTTAACATCACATCATGAACAGATTCCAAGTAACCGCAAGCCTCTGCCAAACTGGTGCCCCATGTGTAAACGAGCCTGCTTTTGATTTGTGAGCGCTCTATATATTAACCTTTGTCCTGTACTTTGCTACTATTGTCATCACCATTCTTTCCCTTTCATGGGAGGGTTTTTTTTCATCTTTAGTTCCCTCTTTGGTTTCTGCCTCTGATGTTATGTTTAGAAAGACATTCCCAACTCTAAGAATATATTTTAAAATACATTTTCCTAGGTTTTCTTCTTGTAGTTTTGCCATGAGTAAGCAATTTGAATAAAAATGAGAATTTGGTGGATCATGAATCTGTGTTTTTATGCTTGCCACCTGCTCTGAAATGTTACACTCACCTACATGCTCTAATCTGTTAATTCATCTTTATATTCTGGGCATGATCTGCCCAGAAGTGTTTTCTGTTGTCCTTCCCCTTGGTGAGGTTGCCCACACTTGGCCAGAGCAGACTCTGTGTGATGGTCGTCCTGTATTCTGTCCCCAGACCAGCTTGGCACACAGACTGGTGACTCGGGAAGGCTCCGTGGCCCCACTTCCCCTCTACACATCGCCATCCTTGCCCAACATCACACTGGGACTTCCTGCCACCGGCCCTTCTGCTGTAAGTAGGCTTCCGAGGGTCTGTGTGGTGCGGGTCAGCTGTCACAGGCATGTAGCCTAGATGTTACCAGTTGTGCCTCTCCAGGGGGCGGCAGGCCAGCAGGAAGCCGAGAGACTGGCTCTCCCAGCCCTGCAACAGCGGCTCTCCCTCTTTCCTGGCACCCACCTCACGCCCTACCTGAGCACGGCGCCCCTGGAGCGGGACGGCGGGGCAGCTCACAACCCTCTCCTGCAGCACATGGTCTTACTGGAGCAGCCACCCACACAGACGCCCCTCGTCACAGGTGAGCGCTTTGCACGGCATCAGGCCTTGCCAGCTCACAGAACTGGCAAGGAGGCCTGTTCCACCCTGTGTTTCCCTCACTTCCCCCATGTCCGGGCATGTGACATGATGCATCATGTCTCCCTCACAGAACTGTGTGGACGACATGCCAATTACAGGTCCTGCCCTCTCAAGAGGAGGTTGAAGCTCCTCTGGTTTGCGTCTTCCTCTGGGTCAAGCTAAGCAAGTGGCAGAAACACAGCCCTGACTTGGGAGGACAGTCAATTTCTATCAGCAGTAAATTTTTATTAAAATGGTGCCCCATCTAAAGGACAGTTATATTTAGGAAAAAGTGGGAAATCTGTGATGGAGTCTTCATAGCAGTGATGGTGTACAGAGTCACTAAGGATTGCCAGACGTGTGGGGGCTGCGGTCGCCCGTCCTCATCTGGAAACCGTCCTCAGTTTCATTTCTGCCTTCTCGAATCTCTCTCTCTGTTCAGAAGTAAAATCTACAGCAACATTAGAGCTTCACCTCCAAATCTCTGACCCCCAACCTCAGTGGGAAATGCAGGTGCCAGCAGGCTTCAGAGTCCAAATGTGGAGCATGCGGGTCCAGACGGGGGTTTGGTTTGGTTTTCCTGTTTTATGCTTGTTTGTCCCTCTCGAGCACTTGGTTCCTTAGAGTCACTGGCTGGTCAGGGCTCAGGTCATGTCCTTCCACGACCCGTGGGCCCTGTGGGAAGATGCCTCCTGACTGCTTTCCTGCCTTTCCATCCTGTCCTCTAGCTGCCACCAGGTTTCCATCAGGGCCCGGGAAGTCCCCCCATTGTGTAGCACAGTGCTGTCCAGTGCAGGAGCACTGGCCACATGTGGCTATTAACATTGAAATTGAAAGTTAAAAGCACTCAGTCACCTGTGAGGCATAGCGAATACTCCTATGGCTGCTGATGCAGGGGAACCTGGACCATTTCCATGGCACAGAAAGCTCTGAGCAGCTGGCTGCAGTGAGGCCCGGGCTCTCAGCTGGAGATATGCTGTGCCAGGCCTCTGGGCCTCTTCCTCCCACACAGCTCATCACTACCCAGTTTTACTCCTCGCTGACTGGCCTGCAGGGCGATTCTGGAAGCCCTGTCCTTTTCCCAAAACCCCTTTTTCCATGAGGCCAGCTCCTGTGCCCCTGTCCTGCTCCCATGTGCTCATTCTATGTCAGCTTCCATGGACACTGTATCTGTCCTGCCTCCTTCCTGGAGCCCAGACCTTGCATTTTCCTACAGCTCTGCCATCCTCTCTCTCCCAGCACCCACACAGTCTGCAATGCCTAGTAGATAGCATAGGCGTAGTAAATATCCCTGTGACTGAGCCCAGTGAGAGCCATGTGTCTGAGGTGGCTGTGTCTGAGCAGGACCCAGGAGTTCTCACTGCATGTTTCCTATGTCAGTGTATCTGAGTCCCCCCAAGTGGACGACCCACAGACCTATCTGCTTGCTGATGATCTCGTTGGACAGACTGACCAAGTTATACCAGCTCCACTCACAAGTGCTCTGGAAACGGGCCCGTGTGGGAGGAGTGGCTGGCCAGGTCAGAGAGCAAGCAAGATGGAGGGTCTCGGGTGCTGTGTCCCCTTCCCCGCAGGCCCTATGGCTTGTATGTTTTCAATTATTAGGCACTCTGCACACAGTTACTCCTGGAAAGAGCAAAGTCCCAGTATTCCCAGAGGCTGAGTTTGAGCAGCTAGCCAGGGCAGCGCATAGAAATCGGGTTCATTTCCAGGCGAGAAGGAACTGTTTGCAGAGTCCTGGCTTGTTTCTGCAGCTCCACACAGAACCGTGGGCACCGCCTGGCCTGGCCACCCAGCTGAGCACAGTGACTGAGTGGCCGGCGAACCAAACCTTCAGACCAGTGTGTCCTACTGGCCAGGCCCTGGGAGACGGGCCCCAGAGCTTGGTAGTTGGGTGTGTGCAGGAGGCTGGGTGCTGGGGCAGGTGAGCTTCAGGGAAGGCTTCCTGGAAATGAGCATCGTTGCTTAAGACCTGAGGTGGGACTCGGCAGGTGAATAGGTGGGAAGAAGGCCCAGTAGAGGAGCAGGTGTGGGTACCTGGTGGGTATTCTAGCCTTCTGGTCACTCATAGGGCAGCAGGAGCTGGTGTGCTCAGTTCATTTACCATTTCTCCCAGTCGGACATCCTTGACCCAGGGTCATTTTCAGCCTGAGCAATGTTTAGTGTTTGTTTACCTCAGGTTGCCAGGGGGACATACCCAGGTTGCAGGGGAAGGGGTTTGTTAGAACTTTTTGCCCATAGACCCTTGGAAAAATGGTCAATGACCTAAACAACAATTTGCAAAAGAAAGACCAGATGGAGGAAAAGCCTACAGAAGGAAAAATATTAAACTTCCTGGTTCACAAGAGAGCTTGTAATTTAAACTGAGATTCAAGTGCAGACACAGCCAGATGTATCCTGTCAGCTCAGACTCTGGATCTGAACACTTAGCTCAGGTGCAGATGTGGGCGCAGCACCCTCCTGTGCAGCCAGTGGGCCTGGGCGTTGGCAAATCCTTGTAGAAATTTGTAGAAAGAGGTTTTGACCATATCCATCAGGATTGTAAGTGTTAATGCCCCCTTTGTGCATGAAATCAGTGTTTTAAGAGACCCTTAAAAGAACTTGACCCCTGAGGACCGTTTATTTCTCTCACACTTAGTTTCTGTGACAGGGAAGGGCTACTATGGCCTTCCTCAGCTCAGCATGTGGTACTCTTATTGCCCACAGTGCTCTTCAGATCAGAACCTTCTGAGGGGGCGTTCGTACCTGTGAATCTGCCTCTGGCAGGGCAAGCTGTTCTGAAGCCTGTTGCACAGAATGCCTGTTGATGGCATTAACCTGGGTGTCAGAGACAGTACTCTCCAAGTGACAGCTCAGGATGCTCGGTGTGTGCCTGGAGTCATACTCGCTGGGCTCCAGGGAGGAGGCGCCTGGGCTGGCGGCTGCAGCTCACGGTGTCTCTGTCATTCACTCAACAGCTCTCTCCCCTCCTCTCTTCTTCCTCTTCCCCTCTGCTTTTTTCCTCCATGTTATCTTCAGACTGGTATCTTTCAGGCCTGGGCGCCCTGCCCCTGCACACACAGTCTCTGGTTGGCGCAGACCGGGTGTCCCCCTCCATCCACAAGCTGAGGCAGCACCGCCCACTGGGGCGCACACAGTCGGCACCGCTGCCCCAAAACGCCCAGGCCCTGCAGCACCTGGTCATCCAGCAGCAGCACCAGCAGTTTCTGGAGAAACACAAGCAACAGTTTCAGCAGCAGCAGCTGCATATGAACAAGGTGGGTCTGTGCCGTGCGCTCCACGGCCTCATGTCTGTTAGCTCTTTCCTCAGCTTTGCCATCTGGCAGCTGCCCCTTTCTGAACTTGAATGGCCGAGGGCCACAGGAGAAATAGTGGGTCTCAGGCTTCCCCACGCTCGGCAAGGACGGGCTTGTGTGCAGCTGGAACTTGGGGGAATTACCCGTGCTGGGGGATGACTGGAGTGGGCAGGGCCACTTCCTGAGTCCCTGGTCAGTATTATGCATGTGAATGTTCGCATCACTGCATGGTAAATTCCACTCAGCCAACACTTTTTTCTTTTTAAATATGTTTTTATTGATTTCAGAGAGGAAGGGAGAAAGAAATAAATCGAAACATCAGTGATGAGAGAATTATTGATTGGCTGCCTCCTGCACTCCCCACAGGAGGATCAAGCCTACAACCTGGGCATATGCCCTGATAGGGAATTGAACCGTGACCTCCTAGTCCATAGATTGATGCTCAACCACTTAGCCATGCCAGCCAGGCAAGACTTTTTTCTCAAGCATATTTATCTTTAAGCAAACACAAAACAGGAAGTCCCCAACTTTACAGTGGCCTGAAGTCCCCAGAAGCACATGTCCGGATGACTCTACCCTTGCAGTATACTTGTCCATTGGAATAACATCCTCTAGAGGGCTACACCCAGGCCAGCTCACAGAGGCCTGCACACCTGTACAGTCCCTAGAGTCACGGCGACGCCACTCTCAGCAGGAAGTGGTGGGAAAGGGTGGTGTTGCTCTCTAGTGAGTAAAATAGGAAAAGAGCAACTTTGAGTAACGTTTTTCAAATACCAACATTTGAAAGAAAGCATCTTTTAATAGTAAAGAATGAGATGAACCTGTGGAAGACAGTCCAGCATTTCCTCAAAAGGTTAACAGAGTTACCATGGGACCCAGCAGGCCCACTGCTAGGCCTGTACCCAAGAGAGTTGACAACATAGGTCTAAACAAGGGCTTGCACACCAACAGCAGGACAGCCCCGATGACAGTCAAACAGAAAGGGCACAGACAGGCCATGGTGTATCACTCAGCCCTGACAACATGGTGCTGAGGGAGAGAAGCCAGACAGAAAAGCCCACACGTATGATTCGATGTGGGTAGAACATCAGACGGGCAGGCAGTTTGGTGATCGATGGGCACCCTAGGCGGGGTGGGGAGTGGCAGGGGCATGACTGCCAGTGGGAATGGCGTTTCTTTCTGAGGTGATTGAAAGTGTTCTGAGTTAGAGACGTGATGGTTGCACAACTCTGTTAATATACAAATGACTAGTGACTTACACAGTTCGAAAGTGTGAACTCTGGTACGTGAGTTACCTCTCAAAGCTGCTAAGAAAGAAGTGGATGAGGTAAGAGAAGGCAGCTTTGGTGTTTTCTGAGGGGAACTAGCAGATTTGGGGATGAACAGAACAGACTTGATTCTCAACATGTCTCTTTCCTGGGAAAGCTCATCTGGTCGCGTTCCCTCTTGCAGAGAGACCTCAGTCATTGATCCTCTACCCGATACACACAGTTAGACTCTTGTCTCTGCCTCCCTGAGGAATGAAAGGGTGGAGGGAGAGAGGGGGATCAGGAACAAGACCTGGAAGGGTCCACACGAGTGTGAAGATGGAGCAAGAGGAGAGAAGATCACCTCTCCGGGGCCGAGGCGCTAAGTACAGCTAGCCCTGCTCCTCTGTCTGCCAGCATTCCCAGCCCAGTTGGGTTTGGGGCACGGAGACTAATCTTCAAAGAAGAAGCATTTTCCCACTCCACGCTTCCTAGGTTTGCTCTTCTGAGTCTTGGCCTGAACATCACTCATGAGTCCCCCACCTCAGTTAGAACTGCCTTCCAGCCCCATCCTGTTACCTTGCCCACCCTCCCGTCTGCAGTGACTACACCCATTTCTCACGTTTCATATTCCTATCTGTGTTCCCTGGTGGCATGTCAGCCCACAAGGATGCGGTCTGTGTACCCTGGTCGACCCAGGTACCTGGCACGGTGCCTGCCAAGAGCGGGTGCTGGTGTGGTTTTGTCAAGAGTGTTGCTTGTTGAAATGCCATCATGTATTTTGGGGCTGCTCCTCCACTGAGTCCGGCTCAGCCCCCACAGGGTTCACAGGTGGAGGTGGCGGCCACATAGCCCCAGTCCACCCCAGTGTGTTTGCCCTGACAGGGCTGAGGGACGTTCACTCCTAAATGGCCAGCTGCCCAGGGCAGCCAAGCCCAGACCCCTCTACCCACCAGGCACTAGGAAATAGGCTCCCACCCCACCCCACCCACAGAGCCCCCACCCCACAGGCTCTCCCAGCCAGGCTGGACAAAGCAGTCAGCAGTGGACAGGCCCTGAGCCCAGCCCTGATTGGACAGGAAAGGGACTCCTCACTGTGTGGGAACTTGACATTTCTCCACCTGATGCCAGTTTGGCTTCTTGGTTTTGTTATGTCATTATCTGAGTGGCAGGTTAGGAGGTTTTGAAGACAGGAAACACCTATTCATAGGTGATATGTTCCTGAACAGAGCGACGTGGAAGCTGGGTAATCTCCCTGATTCTACTACATGACTGACTGACTGACGGTGGGAACGACAGGTGACTGACATGTTTATACACTTCTCCCGGCGCTCAGGGAGCCAAGCTCGTATCTGGCACCGTCTGGCGCTGATGTCTCTGCCCTTTGTCTTGGAGCAGGCTGTTCCTAGGCCTCATTACCTGAGGGCACTAGAGCCCAGAGCCTGGCAGGGCTCCCTCCCTGCAGCCCTGTGCCCTGTGCATGGGGGTGGTGACCTTCCATGCATGGCCTGCTGTCATTCAGCCTCAGTGGGCAGCCTCTTCAAGGATGTCACCCTTGGAGAGAGATCAGCCCTTCCCAGTTGCTACACTTTCAGCAGCCCAACGGGGCTGCTGTGGTTTCCAGAGAATGGCCCATTGGCTAAGAAAGTCTATGAGGCAGGAAAGATGGATCTAGGAGCTGGCTGGGTTCACCGGGCGATGACCACTACTCTCCAGCAGTATGTGGGCCTCCCTGTGGGTGCCCAGCACTCCTATCCAGTGGTGTGTCAGCCTCATTGTGGATGCCCGTGGCCTTGCACGCAGTGTGTTTAATAAAGTTTGCTGGGTGAAGGGACTTTTAGGAGAATGCTTGCCATCAAAGGAAGTGGGGCTTCCAGCTCTGAAGCTGAAGTGAAGCCAGTCTTGTGCGTCTGGGAGCGTCTGAGAATGGCCTCAGGTGTGGTCTGTGTAAGGTGAGCAGCGTGTACAGGGGCAGAAATGCCTTTTCTCTGTTAGAAGAGAATTCTTAAGGCACCTTGACAACTGGAAAAGCTGGCTTTGCTGTGACAGCAGTTTTGTGTGTGGTTGCTGAATTCCACATGAGCCCAAATCCTGTAGAGCTGGGTTGGATGCATTTTCCTTTCATCCGACCTTCCCAATATTGAATATGAAAACTGGGTCTCGTTTATTTGTGTGGTCTAATTATGAGCATGGCCAGTAGTCTTTAAAAATGGGCTGCTTACCAGTTGGCTTTGGCTCTGAACTCCAGTCTGGCTTTTAGAAAATGTGTTGCTGTAATTTGGAGTTGCATTTGTTCTCATGTAATTGATAAATGAGGGCTCCTAAGGTCCAAAGGCCACTAGGAGACAAAGAGCTGACTTGTTCGTCCAGTTTGCTGCCGATTCTCTGCCAGTGTTTCCTCCAGCATGTTTGCCTGCCACTGCCCCTCCTGCTGCTGGCTCTGCCGTATGGCCCGGCCAGTGGGAAGCAGAGCTGCATCTCAGTGACAGGGGGCCAGAACGTGACCTCGGCCCAAGGGGAGGGCCTGGCAGGCTCTGCTTGGATGCCTCATTTCCCAAGGAAGCTGAGAGGATGGCAAAGGAAGCCCTGGACGTCTGCTATGAGCAGGCTGCTTTGTGTCCCCTCTGCCTGGCTTCTCCAGGAAGAGCTGCCGCTGGGCCTTTGCCATCTACCAGCTCCTTTCTCCTCCCCTTCGATGACCCAGAGCTGCCACCCATCCACCTGCCAGGCCTGGGGGGAATGGGGGAAGGGGTGTGCCCGAAGAGACTCCACAGAGCCCATCACCTGGAAAGGTTGCCCAGGACATTCACTGGAACCGGTGAGACTAAACATTCAGCCCAAAAGCAGCATGTGACAGAGGATGGAGTGCGGCCCACAGGAGGCACACTGACCACAGCTGGAAGCCCACCTGCCCCACAGGGAGTCTGCCCAACTATGTTAGCACCTGCCCCAGATACCAGAGGGGATGATCCCTTACCACATCCAGGGGCCCTTTACAGACACTGGTTGAATGCTTCAGACATGGCAACTTTGGACAGGTCACCTAAACATACACGTGATCTGTAGCTGGACCCGATTTAGACCAGGAAAGGCCATAAGTGACATTATCAGACAACTGAGGGAACTTGAATATTTGTGTAGTCTACAGCACAGCTGACAGTCACTACGTCTATCAGTGGGACTCCCAAGTGGGTGATTCCCAGGGTTCTGTGGAGAAGGGCAGAGGAGGGCTGACACATTTGCTGGATTGCGTCTCACGGCCACTGGTAGCCCTCAAGTAGGTCAGCAGAGGAGAGGTTGACCTCTGCCTCATCCCTGTGTCCTTCCATCTATAGGAGAAGGGTGTATGGAATTTCTTAACGATTTTTGAAAGTTTTCTCTAGTTTTGAAATTTAGAAGAAAACGTTGGAAGAAAGTCAGGATTGGAGTATCCTGTCCTCTGAGTACATGTTCCCGTGGCCACTCTCCTCACTCTTCAGTATTAGTGCTCTGTTTTCTCAAATAGCTTCCTCAGGCAAGCACTGGGGCCCTGGCTGGGCCCTCCATTCCTCATTTACTTTTCCCTGGCCTCCCTCAGCGAGGGACCAGAGCTCCGTGTCTGCAGAAACACCCCACATCAGAGCTGGGCCTCCCAAATGGCCTAGAATTGGCCCTGGGTTACCCTAGCATCCAAATTACCTCCCTTTGGGGTCATCCTCGGGTCACCCTGAGGTGGCCACAGCCCCCTGTTTCCCCCACACCTGCTCCTACTTGGTGCAGATGCTTCCCACAGCCATCTTCATTGAGCTTGTGGAAGGGCACCTCGGAGCAGGTGGCCTATATGCCTCCTCGTAACATCCCAGAGCTGACTCTGAGCCTGCAGGTAGTCGGGACCCTCTAGTCCTCCTCCCCAGGGCAGCGGACGGGTGGACCCCTCTTCCTCTCCTGGCCTCTGGCCTGTTCTCTGTGTTTCCCTTTGTGTGTGTGGCTTCTCTGTCCTCAGTACGAGTCTCTGTGAGCCTTGCATGAGCTTCTGCATTTCAACTTCCTGACTGCTCGGTTCTTCCTGACAGCTATCTCCAGTCCTGAGCTGGCTCCTAAACCCTGACTTGGATCCCCTTTTCATGTGGCATTTGAATTTTAGCCTCTCTGAGCCGTTATACTCCCTGCCCTTCCCTCCTGGCCAGCTGCATCCTTCTAGGCAGTTGCCAGCCTCTGTCCATACCTGCACGAGGAGCCAGCCCTGCTACAGCCTTCCACTCCTCTTTCTGGACCCAGCCCCTCTTCTGGCCTTCCACCCCAGCCTGGCTGAGGCCCAAAGTGTCACTCCCAGTGCCCCATTCTCAGTTTGACTGTTAGGACCTACCTGTGGCACAGGCAGGGGTGTGAACCCCCTTTAAGAAAACACAACCTCTCATGCCTATGGTCTGTAGGTCAAAGTTCATGACATGGGAGCTTTTCAGGCCTGAGGGTGGAGAGCAGGAAGTGGGATGGGGCTGGGGGCTCTGGGGCCTGGTCAGCTGGCAGAGAAGCCCAGGAGGAGGAGGAGCAGATGCAGGTAACCGCCCCAGTGCCCTTTCAGGTCAGGACCTCAGTTATACTAGGATGGACACAGAAAAGGGATTTCTCAGACAGATGGACACAGAAAAGGGCTGAGGGTGGAAGAAGGCAGGCAATGTCCCTCTCAGAAGCTGTGACAGTGGAGAAGGGGACATTGTCCTCTTCCCTTCTCATCCAGGTGCAGAGGTGGGTTGACACCTCTGTCATTGTGTTCTCTTGCTTGGCACAAACGGTTTCATAAACCAATTGCAGGTCTGCTTCCTTCCCTGCCTGGAGCCTTGATGTTACTTCTCAGCACCGCGGACAGCGCCCATGTTCTGCATAGGTGACCAGCCTGGTGCTAGCCTGGTGCCTGTTGGCCTTAACTCACCCCCGCCCCGAGTCCTCTATCCCTTTGTTTCCGAGATGAAGACTTTCTGATGCACCATTCCTTTCTGATGACCTCAGTCACCTTGGGTCACTCTGACTTCACCCTTCACCTCTGTAGATTATCCCCAAACCCAGCGAGCCAGCCCGGCAGCCTGAGAGCCACCCCGAGGAGACAGAGGAGGAGCTCCGTGAGCACCAGGCCCTCCTGGAGGAGCCCTACCTAGACCGGCTCTCTGGGCAGAAGGAGACCCAGGAGCTGACTGGAGTGCAGGTGAAACAGGAGCCCTTGGAGAGTGACGACGAGGAGGCAGAGCCACCTCGGGAAGTGGACCCTAGCCAGCGCCAGCCCACGGAGCAAGAGCTGCTCTTCAGACAGGTGACCATGAGGGCGGGGCGGGCAGGGCGAGAGAAGGTGGACAGGGAAGGGGAAAGTGGGCTGGAGCTGGGTGGTGCAGGAGGCAAGGGACAGTGGCCCACATTTCCAGTGGGCAGTGGAAACTGAAGGGCCTCTTCCTTCCACTCCTGCCAGGCCAGGTCTTCACCCATCACTCTCTAGTGGTGTGGGAGGTGGCTGAGGTTCTATGTCTGTTTACCTTAGCTGTATCTAGACATACTGGCCATTTGTCCACTGTGGGCATTTATGCACCTACTTTCCAGCCAGCGTTGGCCCAGACTCCCAAGGGATGGTTTTCTTTCAGGTATATAGGCTGTGATAAACATAAAGCCAAGTGTTAATAGGATTCAGCATAATCACTAAAGGTCCAGGGAGGGAGATTAATTTTTAGTTGATCAAAAAGGTAGGCAGGGGCTTTGGGGCCTGAGGAGACAGCAGTGGCCAGCCTTGCAGATCCAGAAAAGTAGTGCCAGCCAGGTGCCCAGAGCCAGTAGGGGTTCTGGGCACTGGCACACAATAACCAAACTCACAAGAGACTGGTGAATATATATGATGAATGATTTATTAATTTACAGTAAAAATAAAACTGCCAAGTCAACAAAACACTAGGTCAGCCAGGCAGGCAGCAAGTCAAAACCTCGTGTTAAAAGGCCCAAGTGCCACCAAGAAGGTTGCTTACTCCTAATGAACTGCACGTGAGAGTCAAAGGGCACTCTCAAAGTGGAGTCGGATCTTGTCCTCCAGCAACAGAGCTCTGTCCAGGGTGCAGGCCCTGGCTCGTCCCCTCCCCTCTCTCCACTAGATATCCTAGCCATCCAGTTGTGCACCACTGATCTCTGACAGCCCAGGCATGTGGCCCTCTGCAGCTCCCCCACCTCCCCCAGCAGCACCAAGAAAGACGCCACCTGTGACACACAGGACCTTAGATTTCTCTAGAGGCCTCTGGGCGGCAGGCCACACCCTTCACCCCTTCTGGGTTTCATGGGGGGCCCTGCAGCTGGCTGCTTGTATAGTGCTTTTTCTGTTTCTCATTCAGAGGGGGACCATCTCGCATTTCTCAGGCCATGTTCTTAGCACCCAGGCACTAAGCCACTGCTCTGCAAAGTGCAGTGGAAATGGCACTTAATGAAAATAGAGAGGTTCCAACCAAAGGAACCTTGTCTTCTGCTGTGCAGCTCCAGCAGTAGGAGTGCCTGGCTGGCTGTCCTGGCCAACAGGACCCCACGAGGCTTCATTCCCTCGTCTGTGTAGGTCTCAGAGTTATGAAGGAAGCAGATTTCTTATTATAACTGGAATTCATTGTGTTATTAGTACCGGATATGAGATTGGAAAGTACTTATGTAAATTTTTAGGGTAAATATCTTGTAGATGGTAAAGCCATCAGCATTTATTTAGGAAAAATAGCCTTGTTGTACTCAAAGCCTGAGGCAGTCATTAAAAACACTAATTTTCTATGTTCTTTGGAGAATAATTAGCAGAGGTCTTCATCAGGGAAACTCAGTGGTGCAAGTAGCAATTTGCAGATGTAAACGTGAGACACTGTATCTGAGTTTTTGGAAAACCTGTACTGGGAAGAGGGCTGGTTGGTTGTAGGTGGCCGTGAAGCTGGGTGTGAATCCTTCAGGATCCAGGGGAGCCTCCTGCTCAGGTCCTCCCAGCATCTCAGGGCTCTTCCCTGCCCCCCAGCCTGCAGTGTGCCTGCCCCTCCTCCCCCAGGGGCTAGGAAAACAGACCTTCCAGAATGACAAGATTTATACATGAAAACTAAGGCACGATTTGCGGAGGATTTGGCAGGCTCTACTTTCTCTGGCACCTCAGCTTATAAAGTAGGATGTGGACCCATTCCTTCTTTTGCTGTCCCAGGGTGGCCTGGATATCAGCAGCTCCTTGGGCAGGGCGGGGCTGGCCGCAAGGTCATCCCTGCCCTTCGCTCCCTGTGGCTCTACTCTGCCTCCCACAGGACACACACCTCAGCCTGTCCACAGCGTCCCATCAGGGTCTGTCTCCCTCAGGCCCTGGCTGAGTGGCCCATGCTCCACAGACCTAGCACTTCACCTGCACTGCAGCCCTGGGTTGAAGCCCCTCTGTCCCAGCAGCCTCCACAGCCCCTTCCAGAGTCCTCCTTTATATCTCCACTGGCCAGCAGTAAAGATGGGAGAGAGGTCAGAGACCTGTTGGCTTTTAGGCTTTAGATCCTGGTCGCATTTGTGCTCTTACAGAAGCCATTCTTCACACAGAAACAGCATTTTTTTTGGGGGGGGGGGGGGGGGGAGACTTTTCATGGATGTATGTGTTTAATTCACCCCTTTCTACTCTGTTTTTTTGTTTGTTTGTTTTTTGTTTTTTCCTGAAAGATGGCTATCAGTCCTGGGATTATTCATGTAGGTCCCTACCTCCTCAGAGGCACAGCCACACCCTCCCGGCCCTGTCACCCCAGCTGCTTGGGCCCTGGGTGTCAGGAACCTAATGGCTCACATCTTCCTTGCTTCAGCAGTCATTCCTGTCATCAAGTGAGGGCATGAGACAGTGAGGGGCCAGGACAGGGAGACGGTGGCAAATGAAGTAGAATTAGGATTTCTCTTCTGCAGTGGGCTTTTCTGCCCAGGTTTCTGGCATGCAGAGCAAGTGCTCTTGGTCAAAACCAAGACAACAGAGTCGACCAGGAGGGCTGCCTGCAGGCTGCTGGGGCATCTGGTGGCCATCCTCAGTGTCCATCCAGGTGCCACCGTGCATGGCACGATGGTGAGTGGGTGGAGGGCAGGCGGGCAGAGGGATGAATGATACATGAGAAAAGTACATGCAGAGCCCTTAGGGGTGTAAGGTTTCTTTGAAGCAACAAAACATGTTTCCCCGTAGCAAGCGCTCCTGCTGGAACAGCAGCGGATCCACCAGCTGAGGAACTACCAAGCCTCCATGGAGGCCGCTGGCATCCCTGTGTCCTTCGGTGGCCACCGGCCTCTGTCCCGGGCACAGTCCTCCCCAGCGTCTGCCACCTTTCCCATGTCTGTGCAGGAGCCCCCCAGCAAACCGAGGTTCACCACAGGTAACATGAGCAGGGAGGGCTGGGGTGGGCGGGGTGTTGGGCCTTGGACTGCCTGGCAGGGCAGCCAGGATTTGACAGACGTCTGTCTGGGAGGTGTGCTTCGGGGTGAGGTGTCAGGCCAGGTGTGGTGTCAGGGACAGGCCACTTCTAGGGCTGAAGGGCTGGGCAGCCTCACACCTGGCCCAACCTCCTTCCCTGGGTGGGGGGTGTCAGATGGATGGCTCACTGAGGCTCCCTTCCTCTGCCCTCCATCTATGATCCTAGGGACTTTCTCCTGGGCATAGAAGCCCACCCTCCCTTCCCAGAAAGTCATTGTCCTCCAGAGAAAGGTCCATCCCAGGCTAGCGTGAGTGTGAGTGTGCAGGCTGGATGCCTCCCTGTCATCAGCTGGGGCAGTGAACCTGCCCTTTCTCCTCTGTCCCTTCCTTGAGCTGAGCCTCTATCTAGGGCCTTGGACTCTGCATTGCTGTCCTCCTTGTTGCCAATGGTCACGATTCCTACTGTGCTGTTCTGTGTTGCCCCACCTCACCATGCCCGAGCCGGGGGACATGTCTGCTGGCGGGAATCTTGTTTCTGCCTGAAAGGCTCCACACACAAGTCAGGAATGAGTGGTTGAGCCAGGCACTTACTGGGGTCTGAGGCACTGGGCTCTTGAGTGTGCCACTGCCCAGCCACATCCGGCCTGAGGCGGAAGGAAGCCAGGGTTGCTTTTAACACTATTTTCACCTAATGTTTCTTTTCAATGATACATTAACAACAAAAAAATGTCAAAATTCAGAATGGTTTCATCCTTCAAACAGTCCTTATAAAATGTCTTAATTTTTTTCACAGTTATGTCTAAGTGTGGTTAAGTTCTCTTTGTCAGCTCTTAGAAGGATATTGTCCATATTCAGAGAAAAGCTTAAGTAGTGATTATCCAGAAATTAAATTGTTGCTTCTCAGAAAGGAGACCAGAGACTACACAGGTTCATGTGGGCAGCAGGTGGCCCTTCCTGGCAGGGAGCAGATCTTGGCCACTGGTCAAGATGAGCCCGGAGCACAGCTCACAGCAGAGACCATGCCTTGTATTTCCTCTGAATCCAGGAGCCTTGGACAGTCCAGTCCACTAGGACCGCTTAAAAGAGAGGTTGGTCCCTGGCAGATAGACTTGGCTATTTAGACCAAAATCTCATTTCTGGAAGTTGCCATGGTCCTCTGCAACATGAATGCCACACAGCATTAATGCTGGAGATTGGAGTCCAAGGGTGGGCCTCCTTTTCGTGTCTTTTTCCTTTGCCTGCTCCCACTGGGCAGGGCACCACACCCCAGAGGTGTTGTCGGCTCGATTCTGGGCAGGTGTGCGCCAAAGCCATTGCCCAGTTCACCCTCTCAACCTCTCCTTGGTTTTCGTTTCTATGAACTGCAGTTGAGGGGTTCTGATGAACTTTGATTTTTCTATTGAATCGTCCCTGCAGGATGGGACATGATGTGAGCCTGTGTCCACTTCTATGGAAGTGGTGGTTTGCCACAAGATGGTAGCTTCCTGGGCTGGTGGTGGGAAGCCTGCTGCCAAGCACCCCTGCTGCTCTGAGGGTCTCACCACTGCCTCCCTGCAGGCCTGGTGTACGACACATTGATGCTGAAGCACCAGTGCACCTGCGGGAACAGCAATAGCCACCCCGAGCACGCCGGCAGGATCCAGAGCATCTGGTCTCGGCTGCAGGAGACTGGCCTCCGAGGCAAATGCGAGGTAAGGCTGCCCGGAGCAGCAGGGAGGGTGGCCCACACGGCCTGCAGGAATCCGGTGTGGAGTGTGGGACCCTGCAAGGAGGGAGCCTGTGAGCATTTCCATGATAAGGACTGGCAGCTTGGGATATTCAGGCCTGCCTTCTGGAAGATGCCCAGGGCTGTTTTCCTAAAAGCCCAAGGCCTCCTGAAGGAAGGCTCACCTCTGTCCTGCACCCTGGTCCCTCTGTACCCGCTGGTCCCCTGCATGCCCTGGTCCACCTGCACTCAGTCCCCCTGCATCCCTCTGTCCCCCTGCACCCCTCTTGTCTCTCTGCACCCCCTGGTCCCTCTGTACCCCTCTGTCCTGTACCCTCATCACATGCTGCTCCACTCTCTCCCGGCACACTGTTGCTGAAGCCCCTTATTTTCCGTCTGGTCATTCCCCTGGAGGAACCATTCTGAGGCTATTCTCCCATCAGCTCCCAGGATGCATGCAGGCCGCCCTCCAGCAGGAACTAAAGAAACAGGGAAACGAGCCCTGTTGCTTTTCAGTCAGTGTCCTCTCACTTAACATTCCTGAAGCTTCTCCCAGTATGTGGAAAGTGTCAGGTCTGAGGTACCCCTCAGAATCCAAGTTCCCATGGGGCTGTGAATGGTGTGGGAATTTGAGTCACAGTCTGGTCCTGTCTGGTCTGGTTGGAATTTGATTCATGATCATAGCGCCCCCACCCTCTCTGAGTGGAGTGAGAGGGTTCCAGCTGGTCCTCGGTCTCCTCACTGCCTGGGATAGTGAAGGCCAGTCTCTCAGACAAGGAGGGCCCCCACCTCCTGGCCCTTCAGGGCCTGGGATTCCAGTCTCTGCCCACACATGGCTGCAGTGGTCCCCAGCCTATGAGGACAGGAAGGCTCTGCTGAGTAACATGAAGGACGGTCTTTCATCCTGCTGATGGGGAAAATGTTTTCATGGAGCGACCCAACTCATGCTCTTTGCCCTGGAGTGCAGCCATCATGAAGGAGTGTAGCTCTCAGGAAGGCCTTGCAATTAGTGGGTGCATGAAGAGGGGCCCAGGCTCGGGGACACCTCACAGTCCTGTCTATGGAGTGGGGCTAGCAGCACCCAACTCCCAGGATACTCCAGGACAATAGCCCCAGTCCCCAAGTACCCACTAAGTGGGACACCTGCTGTGTCTCTCACACATTGGGAATCCCACAACACCAGGGATGGGACATGCTGCACTGCAGAGTGACTCTGGGAAGCTAGGGCCCTGCAGTTGATGACAAACTGTCTATATCTGTGCATCACAGCCCAAGCCACCTGGGCCACAGCTGGGGCAGGCGTGTCACAGAAAGCCAGCACATCCAGGACCCTGCTGAGCCCCCCTCAAGTCCCTTCACTTCCCCACTCAAGTCCTCCCACGTCATTCAAGTCCCCCTTCCCTTCTCAAGTCCCCCTGTCCCCCACTCAAATTCCCTCACTTCCCCACACAAGTCCCCTCACTTTCCCACTCAAGTCCCCCCATTTCCCCACTTGAGCCCCCCACCCCGCTTTCCCATTCGAGTCCCCCCTTGAGTCGTCCCTCCTCCTCCTCCTCCTCCTCCTCCTCCTCCTCCTCCTCCTCCTCCTCCTCCAGAAGCTGGAATATTTAGGAACTTTAGTTCCCCATCTTTTGCAGTTTTTGACGTGATTTTTGGAGGGAAATGGGGCACAAAGGTCTGGTCCAGAATCCTGTCCTCTAGTGCCCTGGGGAGGACCTTGACCACTAGTGAGGAATGGAGCTTGGCACCTGTTCTGGGTTGCCAGAACTCACCACTAGGGGGCAGCAGCGCCTCTGCAGACACAGCTGTAACCTGTTTCTCCTCCTGCAGACCACCCTGGCCCTGCTCCTCCTCCATAGGGCTGCTGGGGCATCTGAAATCCCCACGACCAGCTTCCTGTCCCTCCCTCCTTGTCCCCAAGAGGGTCAAGGAGGCCAGAGGTCTCTGCAGTGGTTTCTCAGCCAGGAAAGCCAATACGGCAAGGTGGGGTGAGACATGAAACGCAGAAGAATAAAGCTTCAACCCTCTTCCACCTTCTTTGGCACCATAGGGGGTGCCCACCTGTTCTCGCTGATGACTGCAATGGGTCCCCAGACCTGCAGGACTTGGGTACCAAGGAGGGGAGGGGCCTGTGGTTCATGAGTCAGACCCAAGTCAGCACAATGGTCTAGAGGAGACTGGGTGGAAACATGTGGCCTCCACACAGCACTCATTCAGAGACCCGGGTGGGCTGTGCACCTTGAACTGCACCTCTTGGCTCAGAGTGATGTGTGGTCACTCAGCCCAAGGGAGTACAGTGTCCCTGTCACCACCCCTTACACCTGGCTCCCGGCACAGTCCCCTGGATGGCAGAGTACATGGCCTGGCACTGGACACGTTTATAGGAGTTGACCCCTGATAGGAGAAGTTAGAGGGACTTCCCAGGATCCCAGGCGTCCTAGCCAGGGCCCCTCGCTCTAGGCCAGCCGTGGGCAAACTACGGCCCGCGGGCCGCATCCGGCCCGTTTGAAATGAATAAAACTAAAAAAAAAAAGACCGAACCCTTTTATGTAATGATGTTTACTTTGAATTTATATTAGTTCACACAAACACTCCATCCATGCTTTTGTTCCGGCCCTCCGGTTCAGTTTAAGAACCCATTGTGGCCCTCGAGTCAAAAAGTTTGCCCACCCCTGCTCTAGGCAGATGACTGTGGGGGTGTCCATTGGGTGGGCTTCCCTGCTCGAGCTGCTGCGTCGGATTCGGCATGGGGCTGAAAGAGGAGTGAGTGGATCTTTCCTGGGAGCTTATTCTCCTCCACGCTGAGGCTGGGCCATCAATGAGGCAGCCACAGGCCGCTTATAGCCAGCTCCCTCTGCTTTTACCTCCTGCTTCAGCACGGTCTCTAGAGGAGCTGCCCTATTCTGAGTAGTTCCAGATCACCCCAGAGGTTTCAGGAGCAGGAGAAGCTGCTGGCCTGGCTCTGTGCTCAGGAGTGTCACACTGTCTGGCAGCCCAGGGTGTCCCCAGACCACCACCACCAGGGCCTCTGGCTGTGTTCTGACTCTCAGAGACCACTGTAGTGTAAAATGTCAACTTTAATCTCATCTCATAAACCAACCCCTCCTGCTACAAGATCAAGTAAATGTAACTCAACTAAAGAACAGTAATTTTTATGTTAATTTCTGGGGAAATCTGAAAACAGCACTGGAGTCTTGATTTGGGTAATTTCTAAACCAAAGAAAAATACAGATGGAGAGGCGTGGATGGAGATCCAAGGCCGATATCAGGTTTCTCTGGGCTCCCCAGAAGGTTGCTTCTTTCCGGCACTGGGTAGTGCTCAGGGACACGGGCCCCAGCCTCCTCTCAGGGAGAACTCAGGAGGCAGCCCCACTGCCCCTGGCAAATCCTCTCTGTTTTTAGTCCAGACCCTGGCAGTGGGGAAGTAGAGTAGTAATTTGATGCCAGATCATTTGTGTGACAGTGAAGGTTAAAGCATTGAAGGCTGGAATTGTCTTTTTAAACATTTTTCAGTTACAATTAAAGTAAGCCCTCCCTGGAAATTTAAGAAACATTGTGTAGGGTGAGGTTTGCTTTGTATTTTGCAATAACCAAATAACTCTCTGCTCCTGCATGTATACAGTTCAGTTTCCTCTGGGTGGTGGTTTTCCCTTGAACCTGAGCCCACTCGGGCAATATGAGTGACCTCTCCCTTGTGTCCCCACAGTGCATCCGAGGACGGAAGGCCACCCTGGAGGAGCTGCAGACTGTGCATTCGGAGGCACACACCCTACTCTACGGCACGAACCCCCTCAACAGGCAGAAACTGGACAGTAAGAAACGTCTAGGTATTCTGAGGCCTTCCTAACTTTACTGCCCGAGGCTGTTTCCAGCCCTGTGCTCACTCAAGGTGGCTCTGTGCCTGGTCACAGGAGGACATCCCATCCTTGGCCCTTGAAGCTATGGCTAAGACAGTGAGTGTCACCCACCAGGCTCTGCCCAGGCAGCCAGGCAGGGAGAGGCCTTCTCTGTAGGGCCTGCATCCAGTTCTAAGGTGAGGTGCTGGAGGAGGAGTTTTTACCCTGTGTATCTAGTGGGGTTCCAAGTCTTGGTTGTGTCCATCTGCTGTGTACAGTGTGGGGACCACTGGTTTCACAGAATCTGAGACAGCAGAGGTTAGATGCTCGAGCTCCCAGCCTGCCACCTGCCCTCACCTGCAAGGAGCCTGGTCTGAGCCCTGCCCAATGCTTTGCTGTCCTGAACCCTGCTCCCCATGATGCCTTGGGAGCCCTGGGGAAAGTTGATGTCAGGGTGTGGACCAAAGATTCCCTCCACTGTCATGGCCTGGGAGCCGTCAGCCCACAGAGGCACTTTTGTTCTCTGCTTTGTTCTTGCTTCTTAACTCAGTTTTTCAAAGCTCAGCTCTTGTGGTTTAAGATATGACATAGGAGGTAGAACCATAGTAAAAGTGTGGAGACCATTGACCAGGAGCAGGGGAGAGGTTCCTGGTCCCTGTGGAGGAGGGTGTGGATGTGGTCTCCGTCACAGGATGTTTGTGACGTAGACTATACATGTACATCATGTACACCCTTCATGTGAGTGATCCTGCTACTCACCCCAAAAAAGCAACTGTGTCTCTCAGCTCTGGGGGGTGTTTGGGGTGAACAGGGCCCTCATCCCGGAGTTGTGGAGAGGGTCTTAGTCAGAGGGCAGGGAAGTCTGAGCCAAGGTAGGAGACAAAGGCTCCGGAGGGGCACATGGCTTGTGGAGGGCTGGAAGCTAGAGCTGCGGTGCAGAGAAGGGCGGAGCATGTCCAGAAATGAGCCAGCATTGTAGGGCCAGAGGAAGGGACATCTAGCCTGGGGCCAGGAAGGGTTTGGAAGAAAGGAGCCTTAAGAGATGAGGACAGTGGACAGTGGGGAGAGGGTAAGTGGCCTCAGCAGGAGGGACTGACCGAGGAGGCTACATGCAGAAGACAGCCACACAGCGTGACCAGCAGTGCCCAGTCCCCGGATCCTCCAGGAAATGTCACTACTTCAGCACAGGTCTCACTGCCTGGAGTGTCTCCTCCTTCTGGGAGAGGGGCCTATGGTCCTGCTGCCACAGCACAAACCAGTAACCCCAACTCCAGCCGCAGGGAGGTCTCTAGTTGCAGGGCAGCATCAAGTGTGTGCAGTTTGCATCCATGATACTATAAATCACTCTACTTTTTCTTTTCTGCTAAACTTTGTGTTTTAAAATCTGTTCATGTGGCTGTGAGGACACCTGATTGGTTTCCTTCTCACCACTTGGGATCTACTTTAATCTGAGGGTTGTCCTCACCAGGACACGCCACTGTCGTCAGTCTGAGTGTCCCAGACATAGTAATAGCTGGTGATTATCTCAGGTATTAACTTAACCCTAATTAGGTGTTTAAACATGGCTGGGTGGCTTCTCTTCCTCTTCTAATTAAATCCACAAATTCCTGAGTCCCGTGCAAGACCTGTGTAGCGGATGTGCAGGGACAGCTTGGCTGGGCTGCAGTGCACTGTGGACTCGAGTGGACTGGTCGGTCACCCTCCTAGCTGTTCCTGGAAGTCAGGGGGTCGTCTTCTGACGGCGGTGACCTGGAAAGGGCTGGAGAGGCTTGCTCCTGTGTTCTGGGGCTGGGCAGGCCTTCCCAGATGGCCAACTTCATGCACCATCCAAGTGAACTTCAAACATTTGTCAGTGGGGAGGGGTCTGTCTTTATTCACATTCTAGAAAGATCCCTCTTGTCTGAATGGCTCATTATATTCCAGCTCCTTTCCCTGTTTACAGCTGGGGGGCTGCTGGGGCCTTGGGACTTAACCCAGCGTTAGGGCCATCGGTGAAGCTCTCTGTGGATCCAGGTCAGGTCTGTTCTTGGGACTTAACCCAACATTAGGGCGGCAGTGAGGCTCACCATGGAGCCAGGTCAGATCAGATGACTGAGGTTTGCTCAGACACAGCCTTCAGGAGCATGGGGCTGTGCCACGCAAGGTACACAAGCTCTGGCTGGAAGCAAAGCCCACCCGTGGGTGCCTCCCCTGCCTTAAGGAAGGTCCCGTAAGCCCAGGACCCACTGACCACCAGGTGCCACCCAGCGTAGAGGTACAGTTCTGTCTTTGAAACTAGGTTGCCCTCAGTTGGGATGTATGATGGTACCTACGCCTTTCAGGAACCCGCAACATTTCCAGAGTCCATGCTGTGCCCTGTGACCTTGGCCCTCTGACCTTGGCTCTTCTTCTCTTGCAGGCTCGCTGACGTCCATGTTTGTCAGGCTGCCCTGTGGCGGTGTCGGGGTAAGTATTTCTTTAATGTGTAAATAATGTCCTGTTTGTTCTCAGGGTCCCAGTGGTCACAGAAACCGCCGCCTCGCTCTCTGCCGAGTGGATAATGGCTGCCAGGTGTTTTCCATAAACGGGCTGGCAGCCGGGCTGCCCTGCCGCTCACACGTGTGGCTTCAAAGGCCCCGTGAGCCTGTGAGCATTTGATGGCTGGACTCGGGCACCTTCCTGGGGAGGGTCGTCTGGCACCATGGCTTGCCTTAGGAAACGGGATCGGTTGTGCGGGCTGGTCTCCTAGCTGCAGAGCAAGGTCTGCTCGTCCCGACTCAGGTGGTGAAAATCTTTGTCCCAATGTCCAAACCCAAGCCCCAGTGAAGCTTGGACTGCAGAAGCCTGATGTTTAAGGGCCATTGAAGTTCCAGAAGCTGCCAGCTTGCTGTGTTCACTGCTTGTCCAACTCTGGCATGCTTTTAAGCAGATCAGATCAGGTCAGGGAGACACTTATGGGGCCCCGAGTTTTAATGTGGGCACTGAACTAGGTGGACTTTCTGGTATGGGTGTCAGCCTCCCTTGGTTCAGGGAAGGGGGGTCTCCCCAGCCAAAGCCTCTTGAATAAAGAAGGAGCTCCTGGCCCCCACTCACTCGGATGAGGGAGGGTGGGGGCAGGAACAGAGCTGCAGTTTGAAAGTGAGACCGGGCCTCCTCCTGGCGATCTGCTGGCCACGAGGTCCCAGCAACCCGGGAAATGGCCGAGTGGACAACAAAGCTGTCGGGCTGAAACTGCGCAGCGGCAGGGTGTGCGTGTAATTACAGAGCTCAGGGTGAAGCCCAAGGTCTGGATTCTGTTATGGAAATGAAACAAAATTGTTTTCTTCCTGAGTCTTTACAAAAATCGCTGCTTTGAAAATTATCCCGTCAGAAAGCGAATCAGCGGCATTTATTCATCCACCACCAAGCCCTCCTAGAGTTGTTTTATTCGGAATTGTAAGTAGGCTGCAATCTCTTAATTCGGGGCAAATTTCTGGCCAGACTTGAAAAGGTTTGGATTTGCACAGCCCTGCAGCTAGCACGGGGCAAGGCAGGACTTATAATTTACAAATGAAAGCTGAGTGGGACCTTGAGCTGGGTGCCCCTCCCCAGTGTGAGTCCAGACCTGACCGCAGGCTGACCAGAGCCCAGCTCACACCCAGGCACAAGAGGCCCCCAAGCTCGGGAACAAAAGTCCCAGCACATTGACTGGTAGAGGGGAGCCTGTGGGATAATTAGGAGTGAACCGCAGGGTGTCTCTTTCCATTGTTTCCATAATTACCTGTGTTGCTGGTGCAGCACAATCCTCCTGGGCCTCAGCTTCTCCTTCCAGCACCAGGGTCCAGCCGACCTTAGGAGCCCAAGTGTGGGTGGGAACATCAGGAAGCAGTGAGAGAGGCTGCTCGCTTTAAGTTAGCATCTAGGTGTATAACTATTCTTCCTTAACTGTATTACATAGAGGCTAAGGTGATTTACCTCTTCTCAACCCGGTAAAAGAAACTGCTTTGCTCACCTCCTGGTTATTACAGGTTTCCCTTAGTGAGAACTTGGTGAGTCCCCCCCCGCCCCCCGCGGGCCCTGGTGCTGAGTCCCGTGCCCGTGCTCTGCACTCCTAAAGGGCCACCTTATCTGTCCCCCAGTCTCTGTGGAAAGTCTTCTGCATCCACTCTGTTCTTTGCGTGCAGTGGGTCCTGTCCTGAATTAACAGGCACATTGCTGCCTCGCTCTAAGCAGGGTCGCCTCCTGACATGGCCACTTGTCCAGGCTGCACTCCTTCCCCAGGACCTCATGCTTCTGGAACTCGGGGCTGAGGGCTGACCATTCCAGGTTTATCCACAGTCTAGTGGCCAGCAGCTGGAGGGCCAGCCCTGAAGTAGTGAAAGGTCCTGGTATCCCACTGTGGGGCTGGGGGCTGTTGTTGGCTCTGGGTAGGATGGTACAGGACCCAGGGTGAGCAGGGGGAGAGCAGGGACCTTCGAAGTACGTGGTGTGTGAGTTCACTCCCTCCCCATACTGTGTTACTTGGCCCTAAAGCCCAAATCTTCACCTGTAGAGAGAAATAACCTGAGTGGTTTTGCCCAAACTGCCTTCGGTCCTCAGAGGAGCAGCCTTGGGGCTGGCCTGCCCATGAAAGTGTCATCCTCCTGAAGGCACAGGCAGCGGTTGGCCACCCCCACTGGCTGTCGGTCAAGGGCTGTCACCTTTGATTTTAGTGAGGTGTTTCTGCAGCCAGGACTGGGTGCAGATGGTTGTGTGAACGGACCGTCCGAGGACAGCAGAGCAGTGTGCCCTAGCATGGAAGCCGGGCTTTGGAAGTTGAATATCAAAGCTGGGAGAGTTGGGGAAGCGCACAGCATTCCTTTGACATTTGGAAACTATTTAGAGAACATAGAAGTTTGGTCATTGGGAAGAATAACCCTCAAGAAGTAGCACTCATCAGGCAGTGGCTCAAACCCCTCAGAAATGTACTTTATTTTAAATCATCTGGCTTTGAAGATACAAGCTTCAAGGCTTCCTTGAAAGAAGTTCATCCACCCGCATGAAGAGTCAGTGTTGTAATCAGGTGGGCAAGAGCCTGTGCATCAGGACACACCTGCCAGGAGGGGCAGGCACAGTTTTGGCAGCAACATCTCAGTAGTGTGCAGCTGCCTGGGCCTCCGTCTCAGGAGTCCCAAAGCATTCAGCGCTCGGAGGAGATGAATTTGGAGAGGAGGGTCCTCATATAGACTTGCAGACACTATATTAAAGATAAACAATCATGTTACTGCACACCTTCTCAGAATCTTCGCTGGGCTGTGTCCCAAAACAGGACATGCAATGTGTGTGGCCAAGGCACATGTGGATGGGGCACAGCGCCCAGGGGCTTTGTGCTTAATCCTGTCCCACTCTCCCCTGTTCTACAAGGAGACACTCTTCACAAAACTGAGGCCTGCCTCTGCCTCCTTCTCTCCCAGCCTTAAAAAATCTAATATGCCTTAATAAATAAGCCAATACACACAAAGAAATTCCTGACATGTCTGCACACAGTGGCCGTGAACAGGCAGACATGCCATCACCTGGGCAGAGCGTGGTGCACAGTCCACCAGGATGTTCCGGGAGACCTTCACTCCCCTCACCCCGACTCCATGCCTCCATTCCTATAGAACTTATCAAGTATTTGGTGCTTCTAATTAAATTCTGCACAAAACAAGGCCATAATTTGAAAAGACCTCTAATTCTTCTCACATATCATTTTGCTAATTGTTAGTTTAACTCAACTGCAGTTGTAGTAAAAACAAACAGGAACTGACCAGGCAACCTTGACATCTGTACTCAGCTTTCAATGTGTCGGAGCAGCTGAGAATACAGTGACACTCCAACAAGGGCAAACCCAGACACACTGGTGTTGGTGCAGTCACTGTTCTTTTCTTGCTTAGTATTTTTGGCATGCCTCTGAAAAGCGGTAAGGTATGTTCTGTAATTGGTGAGGAAGAGACAGGCTCTGGGACAAGAGCCCACGGCAAGGTCTCACTGTTGAGTGTTGTTTCCACAGGTGGACAGTGACACCATATGGAACGAGGTGCACTCATCGGGGGCAGCCCGCCTGGCTGTGGGCTGCGTGGTGGAGCTGGTCTTCAAGGTGGCCACAGGGGAGCTGAAGGTCAGTGAGCATGCGGCAGAGATGGGGGTCCTAGCAGGAAACCGGCCTGGACATTTCCAGGAGAGGGGAAGAAAACAGCCACTGCGACTCCCCCTCTAGACAGGCACAATGGGCGCAAAGGAGGGACCCTGTTCTGTCAACAGCTGTGAATCAAGAGGAACATTTCCTACATCTGTGTAAACAATTACCTAGCTGTCCTCAGAGGTATGGGTCCTCAAGCACTTTATAGTCTTAGAAAGTATTGGAGCTCCCCAAAAACTCTTGTGTGTGTAAGTTGTGTCATCAGCATGGACCATATTAGAGATGAAGCCGAGAAAGTTTAAAAACATTTATAAATATCTGTATGGCTCCGTAGGTTAGCTGGGTTCTCATAGCTACTTCTGTGTGCTCTCTGGCAACATGCTGTTTTGGTTGAAGTACATGAAGAAAGCCAGCCTCACACAGACACGGAATTGGGGAAAGGGAGTATTTCAGTAGCTTTTTGAGGTAATTGTGGATATTCTTTGATGCCACACCAAAATTCAGCAAGTGGAAGTCTCTTGAATTTAGTTGCAATGTGGCACCTGAAACAGTCAGTGAGCTGTAATTCTTACATGAAAATCCATGGGCCTGTCTTGCACATTGAATAGATCCCGTGTCTACACGTGACCTGTGTAACACTGGTCATTTGGAAATATGGGCTCATTGGGTGATGCATGTCTTTCCAGCCTTGCCCGTCTCACTGCACGGTCAACACTCAGGACTGTCTTCTGAGTGCCAGGAGGAGTGGTCAATCCAGGTTCCCGAACGTTGGCTCATTTTCACTGAACACCCAGATCTTAGCACGAAGGCTACCACTGAGTGCACTTTCCCTGAGGACAGCTCACTTGGTTTATTTTTGAGGAAGTCCTATTCACTGCTTTTGAGGAAAACTGGTGCTCCTGCGGGGAGCAGCCAGGCTCAGGTCAGCGGCAGAACTGCTCACACAGCCTCACGCTTCTCGACATGGGACAGGCGTGTGTTCAGGGTCGAGAGTTGATGACATTGATAAGTTTACTGCTTCATTGAGAACATTTTGCCTTTTCCCCTGCAAATGTGTGGCGAAAATCGCACTGCAGGTGGGTGCCTGAGTTCCTGCTATGACACTCTCAGTGGGCCCACCAGTGCATCCACACAATGGCCAGCACGGTAGGAAAGGTTAAGGTCATTATGACAGCTGCCCCTGGAGGGGCACGGGGTGCCCAGGGTCTGTGGTCTGCACTCTTAACACCACTGCGCAGAGTCTGTGTGCAGGGAGATGGGTCTCTCTACTGAGTGTATAGACTGACCACACAGCTTCCTGTTGCTGGTGAAACCAAGAGATGCTCATGGAGACTATTTTTGTAGTGTATACATTCTGTTCAGTGCACACATCCTATACAATGTATACATCCTGTGCAGTGTATACATTGTACATTGTATACAGCAGCTACAGAGTGTCTTTAAAGTAGATGGTTTTTTAAAGCCTACCTAACCTAGAGGTTCTAACAGAAGGCAGGGGTGTGCAGCTCCCAGCTTCTGAGATATTTCTTCAAGGTGCTGATGGGCTTGTTTTCCACGTGGCCCATTCCCCTGTATACTGAGCTGCAGTGATAATGACAGACCTTCACATCAAGGCCAAACTGGGACATGACATCTGCCCCACAGCCGAGCCCCTTCTATTTCATCTACACCCACGGACCCCGTCAGGTTGCTTCCTGGAGAGTCCTGAACTAAGGGTTCTCTCCAGCCCTCGCAGAATCTCACACTGAGCAGTGTCCACCCTGGCCAGCAGGCCAGCAAAGGTAGAAAGTCAGGGATGACTTTCCCTTAGTAACCACAATCGCCTGTAGACTAGCCATCTCAGCAATGCTGCAGTCAGCCCTTTATCCTGTTCCTGTGTATGCCCTGGGTTCCGCATAAATCCACATCCTCGAGTGTCCTCTGAGTCTGCTAACCATTCAGTTTGTATGATTTTTTCACTGATGTGAAACCAATCTTTCCTCCCTATTTTCCCCCACATGTCTGGTATTGTGTGTAGAATGGCTTTGCCGTGGTCCGCCCTCCAGGACATCACGCAGAGGAGAGCACGCCCATGTAAGTAGACACATGGGCCCTGCAGGTGGGGGAGGGGCTGGTGTCTGACTCCTTAAAGGACTGAAGTTGCCACCTGCCACACCTCCTGTGATGTGGAATGTGCTTGCATGTCTTCCACACCAAGTGTCCCCGATCTAGCATGAGTGACTAACCGAGCAGCTCTGTAGTCAAAGGCCGACTTTGCTGATGGTTGTGATGAAAAGGTGAATCGGAGAATGGAAAGGAAGGAAAGGAACCCACAGAATTAGTCTAGACAAGTCAGTTGTTAAGTGTGCTGCAAAAAATTGGGAGAGAAAGCTTACATTGTATAGACGAGTCCATGTGGCCCGTCCTTGTTACTGAGCATTCAGGGTCAAACCCTCCACTTGTTTTCAGTATGACCTCTCAGGTAACTGCTTACAGTATGGTGATGATGAAGCTGAAGGCTCCGGGTTATGACCTCATGGCCCGCTCCCTGGACTTTGTTCCGGGTTCAGATTCCCCTGGCTGTGCGCCTCTGAGGCGGTGGCTGAGGTGGTGCATGTGATGTATGGATTGTCCAATCCATCGTGTTCGTGGAGAGCCAGTGACTGGTGCACAGTCACCTGGGTCAAGGTCACAAGGACTCACTCAGCCTCAGGTGTTGTGCAGAGTGCCTCTGCTGCCTGCAGGGTGAGGTGCCCTCTCACTGGGCTAGGAAACCACCCCAGTGAACACGGTGGCCTCCCCTGGCCAGGAGACAGCCCAGGTGAGTTAGGAGGAGGTGATGTTGGGGCTGTGCCTTGAAGAATGAGTCGTGGTATGTCACCTGGCAGACAGCACTGTCAGGTGGAGCCAGGAAGGGCAGGGAGGGCAACGCCCTCATAAAGCCGCTAGACCACAGTGGGACCACAGACTAATCCGTGATACCCAAAGGACCTCCTGTCATTTCAAATCCGGAGTAAGGGAGTCAGAGCAGAGTTTCAGAAGGAATCATCTTTGTGTAGGAAGAAGGAGGTGGATGTGGGTTGGAGTATTTGCAGCCTCACCTGAGAAGTCGCTGGCTGCCCCATGGCCCAGAGCACTCACTCCAGGCCACCTGGGAGCATGGCCTTGTCTCAGTGCTCAGAGTGACTTCTAGCTTGAATCTCAGTGTTGGATATTCTGAGTAGTAAACCCAAATGACTGCAGTGGGTGACAGAGAGGTGTTTTCAGTGCAGTTTCTCCGCTGTGCACCGAGCTGTAGCCGCACGTCCTAGGGGGCGGCTCCCAGACTGCAGCCTGGATTCCAGCAGCAAAACAGCAGGCCACCCGGTTCTGTGGGAATTCCACAAAAACAGATTTAGACTGAGAAGACTTTCATTTTTACCTGGATCACTTTCTTAGGTTTTCTTGCTCTCTTGAATAAGACTCTGGAATTACAGTCAGTCAGTGGGGTGCCTGTATACATCATTGTCGTATGTCTTAGAACGTGGAAAGATTGGCAGTGAGCAACTAAACTAGGTCACATGTCTGTGTTCTGTGGCCCATGGTGTCTCTTGAGAGGCCAGTAAGAGTGAGATGTTGGTACAAAATGAAATGGATTTTCTTACAGGGAGCCTGGCCGTCTGCACACAGGAGACTGGTCTGTCAATCATAAGCATCAAGTAAGGTTCTCAAACTGCTTGATTAGAAACTGTACATTCACCAGACCCTCTTAAACTCTTGATGGTTCTGTTGCAAGTTACGTAAAAACTGATCTAGCTCTGGGCAGTGTGGCTCGGTTGGGCGTCATCTGTGCACTGAATGGTGGCCCTTTTGATTCCTGGGCAGGGCACTTACCCAGGTTGTGGGTTCGCTCCCCAGTATGGGGCGTGCAGGAGGCAACTCATGGATGTTTACCTCTCTCATCTATTGTTTCTCCCTCTCTCTTCCTCTCTCTCTAAAAAATCTCAACAACAAAAAAAAAACAACCTGATCCAGTCCTATATTTTTTTCTCCGTTTTTCCTGATTCTCACCTGCAGGGGTTTCTGCTACTTCAACTCCGTGGCTGTTGCAGCCAGGCTTCTCCAACAGAGGCTGAATGTGAGCAAGACGCTCATAGTGGACTGGGTAAGGGGCCTCCCTCACCAGGGCAGGGCTGGGGGAGCTGTGATTCTCACAGAAAGACTGTCCTGTGTAGAGGGAGAAGGCAAGCATTTCTGCCTCCTGAGACATCTAGATTTGGGGACCTTAGCTTCTGGAAACTATCTCAAAGATTCGGAAAATAAAAGCCCAGACCTGTTACGGATCTATTTCACAACTTCAATAGATGATCCTGCCAATAATTGGGTTCCCAAAATACCTAGAAATGTGCCAGTGGTTGGGGGCAACCCTGGCAAAACCTCGCTAAGAAGCAGGTTTAGGAGGAGATGGTGCAGCCTGCACCAGGTGCCTCTGTCTGAGAGCACAGGCCGCACTCTCCCCTGGACCAGTGTGCAGCTTCCCTTGTGAGAAAGCGCCCTTCTTGCCTTGGCACCGGCACCGGAGACCCAGTTTGTGCTGCTTTACGTTCCTTCCCCATTCCCTGTAGGAAGTGCCACTTCTCACAATCCCAGTGCCCCAAAGGGCAAGCTCTAGTTAGAAACGCTGTGACCTCTGAACTCCACAATCAGGGTCATGGGTTCTGGTACTGGAAGTGGATAGTCAAGGTGTTAACTTAATTCTTTGCCGGGGGGGGGGGGGGGGGAGTAAAGGGTATTCTCTTGGGTATTTATGATTAATTTTATAAAATTTTAAGGAAAAAAGTTAGGTCCACCAGGTAGGAGTATGACTTAAAATGCAAAGTCCTGTCACTTTGGATAAGAAAAACCAAAACACAACCCAGGATACCCGGCAAGCTCCCAGATGTGGGCGCGGGTCACAGAGTTCCAGGAGCACTTAGGTGGCTTAGGCCGCGTGACTTATGTGGCCTCAGTGAAAACAGAGTCACTGGCTGCAGTGTGCCTGGCGCCTATGTCCCTGAGCCCTTAGTTGCTCCTAACGGAATAACTAGAAATGCTGGGGAGGCGACAGGTGCCATGTGATTTAGAACAGCTCAGCCGTGTGATCAACGCAGGCGTGGCTGTAGCAGTTGGCAAAAGTTGGTGACCTGTGCGGAACCTTCAGGGAACCTCACTGAGGCATGTGCTGCCGTGTCCCACAGGGTACAGGTAGTGTGCACCTGCCGCCTGTCTGCACAGCATCAGTGGTTCCTGGTGGCTGGGACTGAGTGTTTGTTTCTCACAACTCCTTATGTACCGTGGTCCCGTGTTTTCTGTAATGAGCACAGATGACTTTTATAAAGAAGAGAAGGATACTAAGCAGTTCTCTGGTATTCCCAATCACTGACATGCAAGCAGTCCCTCATGTGCACACTGTGTGAAGCAGGCCCCTTCTCGGGGGCCTCGTGGTCCTGGCCAAGGAAGTGGGGCCTAGGGCCTGGTGGAAGCCTGGCCACCCATTGTGATTAGGAGAAGTGGTTTGTCAGTTTAGTTTGGGACCTGGGCCCACAGTGCTGGGTGCCTTATGCACCTGCCACTCAGCCTGTGGGGTAGGCCTGCCCCGCATTCCCACTCCTCCCATCCCCCACCCCACAGCTTACCCCAGCGTCAGGCACAGAGCTGACACTTCGCATGTGCTCGAGCATCAGCAGCCATGGTCAGAGGAGGGAGGAAGTGGCTCACTTTTCACAAACACAGCCAAGCAAGAAATTAGTCAAATAAACTGGCCTCCAGGCAGGGTTGAAACACCAACCTTTTGTTGCCAAAAGTCTGCAGTCTATTCTGGTGCTAAGAATTCGGGCACAGTCCCGGGACCCTTCCTTCTGGTCCCTGGGGCCCTCTGACCGAGTCCTGGGGGCAGGGGGCTGGCATCCCTGTGAAGTTAGTGGCCTGGCTGGGCTGCTGGGGGACTGAGCCTAGGAGATATCCTGGCATGGCCCAGATTGAGTCCACTCTCCCTGTTCTCAGGATGTGCACCATGGAAATGGGACCCAGCAGGCCTTCTACAGCGACCCCAATGTCCTCTACATCTCACTGCACCGCTACGACGACGGCAACTTCTTCCCAGGCAGCGGGGCGCCTGACGAGGTACTCAGGGCCTCCTGTAGGTGTGCAGGACTTTGGGAGGAGGTCAAGGCAGGGCTACCCTGGAGACAGAGTGGACATCTGCACAGCAGAAGCAAGGGCTACCCACTCATGGAAACCCCAGAAGGTGACTTGAGGCAGACATTGGCCTGAATTCCATCCCGTGTGTGCACAGCAGCCTGACTTTTGTCTGATGTGTAAGTGAAGGCCTGGAGACCATTTCCCATTCCAGTCTAGGCCGACAGAGGTGTTCCTGAGCAGGGAGCAGGGTGCCCTTCTTCCTCCAGGAATGGCTGCTATGCAGGCCGTGCTCTTGTCCAGTCCCTCGGGCAGGCTGACTGTGCTCTGATTTCACCTGTGGTGCCAGACAGTGGGCCCCAGGACGACAGGCTCAGAGCCTTCATGACACCCTCAGCCCCAGCCAAGCCTGTGGAGGCCCCAGCAGTGGGGAATCCCACCCTAGGAAACAGCTGCTTCACCTCCAGATCTTATTTCCCGGAAGGAAGTTGAAAGGGCAGCTCGTCTGCAGGCATTTCCTAGTGGCCCTCTGCTGGCTTGTGTCTGTCACTCAGCACAGAGCTGCAGTTCATCCAGGGCCCAGGGAAAGGGTGGCCCCCACTGCACCCACAGGTCAGGTGGGCGGGGCGAGAGCCCCAAATTCTGTGAAAGCATGCCGTCATCGGAGTCAGCATGTCAGGGGTTGTAGGGACCAGTGACAGCTCATGAGGAGCACAGCCACAGCTCTGCTGTGGGACCGCCAGGGCTGGTCTGTCGAGGGTCTGACACATGTTTCCTTCCCACAGGTGGGCACAGGGCCGGGCGTGGGCTTCAACGTCAACATGGCTTTCACTGGTGGCCTTGACCCCCCCATGGGAGATGCAGAGTACTTGGCAGCCTTCAGGTAACTGTCCTGGCTTCCTGTCCACGGGCACTTAGGGACCTCGAGGAACTCCACCCCCATGTCTCAGTTCCTGTTGACTTTAACCCTCACCCTCCTTCCTAAGCACCCAGACCCCTCTCAGGAGGACCCTCCAGCGTCCCCCGGGTACACCTTCCAGAGACAGATGTTTCTATCCTGTATGTGGAGGGGCGATGCTCTGAGGCCCTAGCGTGCGGTCTCAGTTCCTTGTTTAAGCTGAAGGTGGAATCTTTGAGGCTGTCTTCTGACCTTTGTCTGCAGAGCTCCAGGCTGTGCACTTTGGGTCCCAATGGTTCAGTGAAGGGGTCAGGAGGTGTAGTAATGAAAAGTGGGTGTTCAAATCTGGAAGGCTGTGGTCTCCTGACTTAGCTTCCAGAAACCTCTTTGAGAAGACGGGAGACAGAAAAAGATCTTCCTCCTTTATTGATAAACTAGATGGCCTCCCCATTCATACACTTGCTTGGTGTTATTCTGGGCCCTAGAATTGAGCCTCAGTGTTTGCTTTTGTCATCAAATGGTGATTTCTGGTTTGATCTGGGCCAGACTGAAGTAATTCCTATAGCACAGGTGGCCTCTGTTGACGTTAAAATGGCAGAATGGGCAGCTCAGGGTGGGGCAGGGCCCGCGAGAGGAGGAGAGTTTTGTTCAATGGTGAAGTCTGACCATTTCAGAAAACCCAGTAGTTGGTACCCCGGGGCATCCCCAGTGACTTTCCACCTCCTTCTCTGGAGGCTGAGATTCATTAAGGACACATCTGGCCAAAGCTTTGCTGAGGGTTCTGCCTCATGTCCCGGTGAGACCTGTGTGGGTCACAGGACCCTTCACAGCATCTGCTCGCTCACCTCAGAACAGGATCCTAGTCCCCAGTATCAGCATGCATGTGGGCCTGCAAATGGAGAGGCCTTTGGTCAGCAGCTCCAACAACAGAATTGGTCTGTGAAAATAGGAGCCAGTTGCCTCTTGGAAGACCTACCCTGATGGGCACCGAATTACTTTTTCTCCTGGCCTCATTGGTCTAATTTTGATGTTTCTTCTTACTCTATCAAATATTGTGGAATTTTGATAATTACCCTGCCTAATTTAAGAGAGAAGGAGGCCCAAAACATCTGACAATTTTCTCCTGTGCACAGTTAAATATCAGCTTCATGAAATCTGAACCCACCTGGGCAGTCGCTGCATGTGCATGGAACAGCCACTCAGCATCACTGTCCCCTCCTGCCTGAGAACCGGCCCTCTCAGGGGGTTCCTTTTGAAATAGGTGTCCAGATGCCACCGTGAGGGGTGTAAACAGTGCCCAAGTGAATGTTGGTGCCACCCAGGGGACCAGGGCACAACACAGCCCACACCTGGTGTAGTCAGAAGGCAAAACTTTCTTTAAACTGAGGCTTGAAGTGGTAAAAACTGGGTAGTCTCTCTTCTTTCAGACCATTTTTCGGGCCAGGTTTGACTGGATTGGCACTTGCAGCTTGTCAGTGCCCTGTGCACTCCGATCCTAGGCGGACGTGTTGGCACCTCCTCTGGCATTTCATTGGTGGTGGGCAGGGTGAGGGGCAGCTAGGCGGCCCTGAAAGTCGTCCCCCTCCCCAGGCCAGCCTTTAAGATGAACCTTTCCCTCGGAGTTGCTGTCGACATTCTGTTTTAATCTCCTGCCAAGTGTGTACATGATGATACCTTATCAAATGAGCTTTTTAAAGCTTAAATAACTTCTTTGAAAAGGAAAATTGTGTCGGTTTTTTTTTTTTATTGATTTTAATGTAAAATAGCACTTTGAAGTTTACAATTTATGGTTCCCTGGGCATTGATCGTCGGAGGGGGAAGAGGGTCAGGATCCGTTTTCCCCTTTCTTCTGTGCTGCTCCCCTTGGGGCCCCGCGGACAGTGCGTGCCTCAGACGGAGCACCGTGTTCCTCAGACCCTGCCTGCCACATTGCATTTCAGGAGATCAAGCCTGCGATGAAGAGGAGATAAGAAAACTGCCCCTAATGAAATCCAGGAGCAGCGGTGCTTTCTCCTGGGGCGGGAGGCTTGTAGGAGAAAAGGGGGCCTAATTCAAACCAGTGGGGTGAGGCTTTGAAGTTGGCTGAGGAGCTGAGGGCCTGGGCTGGAGGAGATAATGGTGCACTTTCCTTAACCCCTCGCTTACCTGCGGCTGGCAGCCCAGCAGGTCCACCTATCAGCAGTGAGGAAGTGAAATCGGGATTGTCCGTACTCTGATGTCATAATTTGGATTTCATTGTGACATAGTGTCTGAGAGGTGTCAGGGGACCTGCACATCCCAAAGTGGTAATTGCAGTGACCCAGCGATTGAACAGCCGGGCAGGTTCATGTCACCTTCCCTGGCCTTTTGGGCATGGCGTCAGGTTGTGGCACTTCTGACTTTTGTTACGTCCTTAAGGTGTGTTTTGCTTCTTTCTAACTTTTCTGTTGTGCTGAAATGTCCATGACATTCTGTGTTCTCTCCATGTCTCTTCAACATGTCTCTAAATTTTACCCAAGGATATTCTGCGGTGATTTTAGAAGCAAAGATGTAAGCTAGAAACTCAGAATTGGGCAGTCTCATGTCCAACTGCCCTGCCCTGGGCGGCGGGAATGGAACAGGTGATCCATGCAGTGCCTGCCCCCTCAGGTGACTCAGACGGGGACCACAGGGCTGCAGCAGGTGCATGTACCCGTGCCCACTCACAAGTCTTGCAGGAGTGAGCTGGCATGGGTGTCGGGGAACGGGCCTTTCCCACAGGAGCCAGTCCAGGCTGTGTGGCTGCTTCCAGAGAGCTGGACCGTGACTCTGACAGTGAGTGTCCAGGGCTCTGACCAGGTGACTAAGGCGGTGTGTTCTGCATGTTTGATGGCTATCTCGTGGCAGTTTGGTGACAGAGTTGGTTCCAGGATGGGTGGACTGCACTAGATTCCATGGACGAGCCCAGGGAAGGATGGCAACCCTGACCAGGATGGGGAACAGGGTGGGAAGGGCCACCTCAGAAAATGTTGGTGATCAGATAGAACTGAGGCGGGGCGGGGGCTCAAGTGCTGGTGGATGAGGGTAGGGGTAGTGAACAGAGAATCAAGAGGAGCAGGTCTGAGCTGGGCGAAGGACAGCACAACAGCGTCAGTGGAGGACAGCGTAGTGGGGTCAATGGTGTTTTAGCAGATTTCCAGGAAACAGCTGGAAAGTGTCCCTCTATTTGGCAGTTGGTAGGTGACTCGGGGAAGACAGTCGGAAGGGGTTAAGACAGAATGCACAGGAGTGAATGAGTGGGAGGTGGGGACAAAAGACAGCAAACACTGCTCTTCTGAGGACCTGGGGGAGGGGACAGGAGCTGGGGGAAGACACAGGCTCGGAGGCAGGCTAGTGCCCAGTGGGGAAGCTGGGCCCTGCCCAGAGTGAGGCAGAGGCCAAGGTCAGCTTCAAGCAGCAAAGGGCCCTGGCAGTGGAGGTGGCCTTGAGGACAATGTCAGTGAGGCTGTGGGAACCATGAGGGAGAGATGCTGCATGGGTCTGAGGCCTCCTGTGGTGGTGATAGGTGGGGTATGGAGAAGCCTGTGGAGCAAGACATGGCAAGAGAGGCAGGGAGGGGAAGGGTGAGAATAGGTTAGACCAGCTGTGGGCAAACTACGGCCCACGGCCGGATTCGGCCCGTTTGAAATGAATAAAACTATTGAAAAAAAAGACCGTACCCTTTTATGTAATGATGTTTACTTTGAATTTATATTAGTTCACACAAACACTCCATCCATGCTTTTGTTCCGGCCCTCCGGTCCAGTTTAAGAACCCATTGTGGCCCTCGAGTCAAAAAGTTTGCCCACCGCCGAAACCAGTTTGGCTCAGTGGATAGAGCGTCGGCCTGCGGACTGAAAGGTCCCGGGTTCGATTCCGGTCAAGGGCACGTACCTGGGTTGCGGGCACATCCCCAGTAGGAGATGTGCAGGAGGCAGCTGATCGATGTTTCTCTCTCATCGATGTTTCTAACTCTCTATCTCTCTCCCTTTCTCTCTGTAAAAAATCAATAAAATATATTTAAAAAAAAACAAAGTTTGCCCACCCCTGGGTTAGAGTCAAGAGGCCCAAGGGCCCAGGGAAGGCATCCCTCCACCCCCACGGAGGCTACAGGAGGGAGGGAGGGGTGTGCCCACTTCACCAGGATGACCTCTGAGAGGTGAGGAGGCTAGGAGCAAATGGGCCCCTGGTTTCAGAGCATGAGGGAGAGGGACTGCAGGTGCAGGCAGCAGGCTCTGGAGGGGACTGGTCTTCTAAGTGTGGGTGGAGCTCAGATCAGTCTCAGGATCTAGCTGTGTCCTAGCTGTGTGTGCACCTTCTTTGGCCACCATGCCTGTGGGTAAACGAGCAGGGCAGGGCTGTGGGCATCACCGCCGGTGGCAGCCAGGCCAAAGCAGATGGGTTCCCGTAATTTCTATGTTTGTTCTGATTCTAACTCTCAGTAGAGTTCAAATAGTCGATAGACAGTTGCTCCAGCCACTGGCCCAGTGGCTCTGGTACAAACATGGTTTTTGTGGCTTTCTCAAAAGATGGGACCCAAAGCACCAAAGTCACAGCATATAATAAATGGAATTTTCAGTCATCACAATGCTGATTGTTGAAATGGTGCCGTCAGTGTGGAAGCAACCACCTCCTATAAGACAGGGGGGATGGAGGGGGGTGCGGTCTGTCAGTGTGGCAACTGCTGCTCCTGGTCTGGCCGCTCCAGCACACAGGAATGTCCCAGCTGCAGACATGTGTTACACATCTACAGGAACAGGAAGCACATGCTATGGAAGGAAGACTGAGGAGAGCAGGTAGCACTGGCAGCCCAAGCTTCCAGGCACCTCAAGAGAGGAGGCGTCCACAGGCCCATCTGTGTGGATGATGCTTCCAGGGCACCCGGAGGGACAGGTCAGCCAGGGCACGGGGTGGTGTCATGGCAGGATTGTTGACACAGCCTTGTGCCTGCTCAGGAGCATGTGCTTTGTGTAGCAGATACCCCTTTGCATTCACAGAATCTGTGAACTTTGGTTACCACGTCCCCATAGACCCAATGAAACATGTTAAAATCTGGAACTGGTGCCGGGCATTGAATAGCATCACCATGGTTGTAATGACAGGTGTGGGGCAGGGGTTGGCAGAGTGGGGCCCTCATGCCAAATCCACCATGTGTTTTAAGTCAAGTTTTACTGGGGCACCGTCATGCTAGTGTGTTCACATGGTGCGTGTGCAGCTCACGCATGGCCGTGTGGCCCGCAGACTGAAAGCTAGCCAAGCCCATCCAGATCCTGTGTTTTGTTCCTTGGGCCCTGATGGACGGTGCCCAAGGCACACACCCTGAGGCTAGTGCAGAGGTGCTTCCCGGGGAAGTTTATGAACTGCGCTTGGCCTTGGAAAAGGGAATGCAGCAAACTGTTCAAAACTCAGCCTCATCCTTCTACTGTGACTCCAGTGTGAGGTTCCAGAAGCGAGTTTCTCAGCTGCCAGTGCCCGTTTTCATGGCAGACACTCAGCCCCAACTGGAGCAGATGAAAGTCACATGGCACAGCCCACGCTCTCCTCCAGGAAGCGCTGGCTCGGGGTCCTTCAGCACTGGGTGGTGCGTGTTCTCGGAGTAGGGCCGGGTGCTCTGCAGCATGGGTCCTGCAGAGACAGGTGGTGGGTTTTCATCACTCCTTCCACCGGAGACCAGGTGGCTTTTCAATGGGATCGCAATCCAGGGTAGTTGCAGAGTAGAGGAACATTTAATTTTGAGCATGTTTGTGTCCTTTGGCAAAGTTGGTACTTTATGGAGTTGACTCTGCTGACTTAAATGGCAATTTCATTCTGTAATAAAAGTCCTTGGCCATGGTGTCCCCAGGGCTCTGCCGTGGGGAAGGACCATGGGCCATGCCTGGTGCCTGTGACCTCCTCCCACCGAGGGCCTCTGAAGCTCCAAGTGAAGGGAACCAGGACTCAGAGATGAGTCGCTGGGTGAGCTGCGGGAGCACCGAGCAGCCTTTGGTGCAGTAGAAACTGTTTGAGCTGCTCTAAGAAACAGATGGAGAAATTGTGAATGCTGGACTTCCCCCATGGGGCTGGGCAACGCGTCAGCAGAGGCTCCCAGCGCATTTAGATCGTCATGTCCACCTTCCTCTGCCCACTTCAGGGACATGGGCCCCAAGCACCTGAGATTCTGCCCACCTTGCCCACCTCATCTACAGAGGGAGGAAGGGGAGTCTGAGAAACAAGCTTAAATGGCAGGTGCCACTGCTGAGTTCCAAATTTAATAGTTCTTCAATCAAAACACAAAGCACATGTTTAAGGGACACACTGACCTCTTTACACTGCAGGCTCCCAGGTGGTGGTTTTGTGTTCAGTGTTTTTTCTGTATTCAAGTAAATCTTTTTCCTTCTTTCCCTCATATAACTTAACCCCAGACCTCTCAGTGGTGTGTATATTTTTAACTATCGATTCTCTTTAATGTGACCATCAGTTTTCCCTTTAAAAATCTCAAGTGTAGAATTCCTTTTTAACTAACCCGATGCAGCACTGTTGCAAGTGTGCGTATGGTCATTTGTTGCTAACATGGCCCTTGGGGTGAGTGGAAGGAGGTAGGAGGGCTCCCTCAGGGCCAGGGCTGCTGAAGGGCTCTCCCACCTCCTCAGCCACACGGCTCTGTATCCCTGGTGCCAGGGGCATGGCTGTGTCCATCTTGAATCAGGGCCAGTGTAAGGTGAGCAGAGCCATCCGCACCTTTGGGGAGGACTCTTAGCAGCCCTGGTAGCTGGCTCCACTTCCCCATGTTGGTGCAGCTGGTGCTGGGCATTACAGACCACCTCCATGGTCTGCAGCGAAAGCCTCCTACAAAACCACCAGTGCATAGCTCGCCCTCAGCATTCGTACAGGGCCTTGTTGGTTTGGACTTTTTAGATACTGTGAAATCGTCAGATCCCAGCTTCCATGGGAGCCCTCGGCCCACTAACCTTGAGGGGAACTGTGGCAGGTACATTCAGTGACCAAGCAGCCCTCCCCATCTGTGTCCCCGCTGCCTCAGTGTTGCCTTCTCCTACCCTTTGCAGAATGGTGGTCATGCCAATCGCAAACGAGTTTGCCCCAGATATGGTGCTGGTGTCAGCAGGCTTCGACGCCGTGGAGGGCCACCCCACACCTCTGGGCGGCTACAACCTCTCTGCCAAATGTAAGTCGGGTTTTCAGGAGCTTAACGGGACCTGCTGTCTCTGTGGCCAACTGTGCTGTGTCTCACATCTCCCCTTCAATGGCATTTCTAGAGATGTGACAGTGTGGGCAGCCCCAGAAAACCAATGGAGGCAGCAGGATGGTGTGGACCAGGAGGCCGCAGGCACTCCTCACTGAAGGTCATGCAACTCACAGTGCTGACCTGGGGGGCTCGTGCTCAGCTGGGATCATACAGGCCACTCTACGGGCCAGGTCTCCAGTTTGACTGAGAGCTGGTGTGGTTGCCCACATTGAGTGCAGGAACAGACCCTAAAGCCTGTGAGGGGGATAGCTGAGAGCAGGTTCAGTTCACAGTTGGAGGGAGCAGGGAGCCCCAGATTATGGGCTCATCTAAGGATTTGCATTAGATCAGCGGTTTTCAACCTATGAGTCTCAACCCCTTTGGCGGTCGAATGACCCTTTCACAGGGGTTGCCTAAGACCATCCTGCATATCAGATATTTACATTACAATTCATAACAGTAGCAACATTATAATTATGAAGTAGCAATGAAAATAATTTTATGGTTGGGTCACAACATGAGGAACTGTATTTAAAGGGCCAGAAGGTTGAGAACCACTGCATTAGATGAAGGCCCTGCTTTCATTATGGGAGGGAGTCCTGTGAAAATCGCCTTCCCACAAGGGTGAGGCCTCTGCTTATGCCGTCACAGCAAGTCACATCAGAGACCTACTGGCGTGGAACGTTGGTCCACAGAAAGGCCCTGGGCACCCCCACCCCTGCCTGGCCATCACCACCCCCCTGCTGTGGTGGTCACAGAAATCTAGGTCCTGGGACTCTCCTAGGACACTCGGGGGCCCCTCGTGCTGACCCCATGGGTGCAGATGGCCAAGGAGAGCCTATCGTCTCTCCTCTCCCACAGGGAGAGTGTGGGTCACCAGAGAATAAAGAGGTCAAACCAAGGGCTATGCTGGCGTAGCCGTGCTCCAGTGCGGGACCCCTCAGATCCACCTGAACCCGGGCAGTGTGGTTTAGTGATGAGGAAGTGACCAAGCAGCCTGGAGCCTGTGTCCCTGATTCCATCAGAGACAAACCAGGGCTTTAGGAGGTTACAGTGCCCATGGCTGCCAGCGTGGGACCGGGTCTGCCGATGGCCACCTGGCACTGGGGCTGCTAACCAGTATGGCATGGTTTTCACAGGCTCTTTAATAAATGTCAGGCTGTTCTGGCCAAGGGTGGTCATTATCATTACCCGTCAGGCGTTCCTGCCTGTGGGAGGGTGATGTGGGTGCAACGGAGGGAACATGGCTGTTGATGAAAGCCAGACACAGATGTCAGAGTCCTAGAGGGGCACACGCAGCATTGATGTGTGTGCCAGAGTGTGTGCTCATGCCCAGCACACCCCCTAACCAGAACCCCTGGCCTCAGGGATGGACATAGCCGTGCCTCCGAGGCTGCCCACAGCTGCCCTGCTCCAGGCGCCCTGTCTCCTAGCCTCTGGTCCCCATGTGAGAAAGCCTGGGGGCCCATCCCCATCCACCCAAATGAGGTGATTTGCAGCATTATGAAATCAAAGCACTGAAACCGTAATTCCTGCTCTCACACAGATCAAACAGGATCCCAAACCGAATTCCTCGATGAATTTATTGCAATCGAACCTGGCTTCCATTATGAGCCGCGGTGTGCCAGCCCCCTGGGTCTGTAATGTGATGTAATGCACTTCTGGACGCTTTGATCTGCTGCCAGCGTCGGCCCTGCACCCGCCCTGCCCTCTACTTGTATCTCCCTTTTCCCGTTGCAGGTTTCGGGTACCTGACGAAGCAGCTGATGGGTTTGGCTGGCGGCCGGATAGTTTTGGCCCTGGAGGGGGGCCACGACCTCACGGCCATTTGTGATGCCTCGGAAGCATGTGTTTCTGCTTTGCTGGGAAACGAGGTAGGAGGACCGGAGGCCCATGGCTGCTGCACGCAGGCTCCAGACCCAGACCCAGTGTATGGGCCACTTCACTTGCTCCCCACTTGGTTTTTGATGTCCCCCCCTACCCCCACTCAGGCAACACATCTGACAAAACTGCTTGATTATGGCCACAAGGAGGTGAGCAAAAGGATCATCAAGAACCCTTCCTCTTAAAAAGATGGTTCAGGGTCCTGTGTTTTGAAGGGGCTCACCTTCATGTGTGACTCACCTGGAGAGGACTGTCAGTTTCCTCCTTCAGAAACCATCAGTTCCCAGAGGTTCTAAGGCCGGTTCCAGGAGTGGCATCTCTGAGAGTCTCAGGCCCTGAATGAGAGGCCTCTGCCTCCCGGGCTCACAGACGCTGGGTCCGGCTCTGCACAGTGTCCCCACTGAGGCCCAGGACACAGTCAGGGAGACGCAGTAGCTGGACCAAAGGGGCTCAAGGATCTGGACCAGGGGAGGCAACTTGCGAGGTTGGAGGAGAACCGCGGGGAGAGCTGCACTCCAGGCCAACGTGGGCCAGGGGAGGGCAGGGTGATGGGAGGGATGGCTCCAGGATGTCCAGCCCGCTGAGTGGCCACACTTCCTAAAACCTTAAATTCACCCACAGGCCTTTGGCTATGGGGCCACACCTCTGTCCCCTGCGCCCATCAGAGGCTCATGGAGCAGGTTCGGGATCTCCCTAGTGTAGTTTCTCTTGTTGCTTTGAACGTCACATATGGGTCCTAGAGATGAGCTGGCTGGTGTTTGGGGAGCTCCGGTGAGTGCCCTAGATTAGAGACCCAACCACACAGAGAGGTGCCAGGGCCCCTGCTCTCATGCCGTCCCGTCTCCTGGGACTCATCTCCCTCACCCATCAGACACAGTGACTGAGCACACTCCTCAGTCGGGTCAGGGCTACCAGGGTCAGGGGCCGTCACCTCTGCAGCTGCCCTCCTGCTGGTCAACACCAAGAGCACAAGGCTCCTGTTAAGGCCCATCTTGGGTGCGGCACCCTCATAAGTTCATTGCTCAGTGGGGCTCTGTCCCCAGCTTCTAGCCTGTGGGGCTGAGTGCCTGAGAGCCCCCCCCCCCCCCCCCCCCGGAGGCAGTCACTGGGAGCCCACCCTGGCCGGTCCTGAGGCTGCCCTCTTAGACCCACCCACCCCACTCCCCCCGAAACACAGCTGACAGGGTCCATAAGGCATGTGGGGAGATGCAGAGGGGGGCTCCGAGCAGGTGCTCCAAGCTCCATGTTGAACTTCACTGCATCCGCCACACTGGGGAGATGGCCAGTTGCAGAGAGGTCTGTGATGTGAGGTAGCACTCTGTCCTCGAGCTGTTCCCAGTCCGCGTTATTCCCTGTGACTTCCATGAACTGACAGAAGGTAGGCTGCGGGCAGGAGGAGGAGGGGTATGGCCAGTGCCCTGCCAGGCTCAGGAGGGACAGAGATGACAGATGGCATGTGGAAGCAAAGGTGAGGTATCACCCAGGTCTGGGCCCTAGTCCAGCTGAGTGTGACAATGACCTGATGTGGGGTTGGGTCCACAGGAAGCTGTGTGTGTACTCCCTGTGAGATGGCCTGCAGAGGAGAGCCAGACCAGGTGCCTTGGGGAGTGGGCACCTGGGAGGAAGGCCATAGCTCTGTCTGTCCCTCTCAAGGGCCAGTCCTAAGGAGGGTGGACTGAGTGTGCACCATCCTTGGGGTGGGGGGATCCTGAACCCATTCTGTAACCCTCTGCTGGGCTCAGGGAACAGAGGTGTGGCCCCATACCCAGCATGCTTCCTGGTTCTGCAGTTGTGGTGGAGGTGCTCAGGCTGGAGGAGACAGTAGTGTGGTCCCAGCTCCATGCAGGCCCTATGGTACTCCAGCCAGCCCCCACTCCCCGGCCCCCTTGCTTGTTGTGGATGGTGTTCATTTTAAGCCAGGTCACAAGCAGATCAAAGGTCCTGGTGGCATCTCATGTCTGGTCAGCGGGTTAGCGATATGCTTGAATATTCCCGAATAAAATGCCAGTGTGCTTTTTAAAGTGCTCATAGAATTTCACCTAGCCTTTCTTCACATAAAACAATCTTCTCCCTTTCTAGCTAAAGTTAAGGCAACTGACTTATGTATTTAAACCATCCCAAACCTTTTTGATTCTTCGAGTTATTTTAAAATAACAATAGAGAACTGAGCTTTCAACTAGTGCCTGTCCCTTCTTCCTGCTTCACTCTTCTGACAAGAAAATGTTCCTTTACTTACACACATCAAAAAGCAGGAAACACTGGTTTATCAAGGTCTCTTAAAAATATTTTTAATGCAAGAAAGTTGGACGGAGCCCCACTTCTCTGCCCTGCGGCCTTTGAAGTGGATTGATGTACGGCGTGTTGGACGACTTGGTGCACACAACGGGCAGCCAGCTGTGGCCAACATAGCCACCTGGTGGGGAGAGAGGCAGGAGAGAGGCAAGAGCACAGCCTACGGTAGGAGACCAGCGCTGTGCCGAGACCCACATTGCTCCCAAGAGCCATTTTATTGAACAGTTTTGGCTTTATTTGCAACTATTGGTGACAACTGACTGTGAAAACTCCAACGTTTTGCAGGAGCAGTGTAAACGGAGGTATAGGGAGTCCAGCAGGTGGAGGGCTGAGATGAGCAGTGAGGGACCATCATTTCTCATGTCACCCCAAAGGCAGCGTTTGGTTTGGGCCAATTTTCTGGTTAATCATGTGGCATATCAGGGATCAATGCCATCATTTCATTCAATCCAACTCCGAGATCAGTGAAGGAGTTCACAGAGGATGAGGTGGAGCCGCAGTGTTGGGAGAAAAGGCTTTCACTGGAAATTTAGCAACTGTGTTATATTGTTACACTTTGGGAAAGGTGTGGCTGTGACAAAACACAGTGATTAAAAACAGCTGTGTGTGTGAGAGGCAGGCACAGAGACAGACACTGAGTCCACTCAGTCTGGGAGCCGGTTATCTGCTTTTAATCGGCCATCTCCCCCTCACTCACACACGCTCATACACTAACACTCACCGGCATATTTGCACATGTTCACACAATCATGCATACACACACTTGCAAGTCATGTTTATATGCATGCTCATCATGTTTACACACTCGCAGTCATGTTTACACATCACAGTCATGCTTACAAATGCACACGCTTGCACAGTCATGCTTGCACTCACACTCAGCTGTACTTATACTCACAATCACGTTTACACATGCTTGCAGTCATGCTTGCACATGCTCACAGTCATGCTTACACATGCTCACACTCCTGGCCAGGGTCACCTCCTGCCAGCAGTGGCCGTAGTTTCAGCTGTGTGCAGGCCCATGTGGGGGGTACAGGCCCCAGTGCATGTGTGTTTGCTTTAGGGCAGTGCATGCCTCCTCTCTGTCCAGTCTCCTGAGTCCTTGCTAGCAACACTCGGAAGGTGGGCCCTCGCCCGTCCTTCAAAGGTGAAGGAGCTGTGCCCACACACAGACCATCCTCCTCACCCTGGTCATTGTCACAGCAGGATGGAGGGAAACAGTGACAGTTGGCCCCCCCGGGCCTCCTTTGTAAAATGGGTAAGAAAGTCATCCTAGTTGCCAGCCACGTAGTTCAGCAAAAGGGTAGCTCACAGCCAAGAGTAGGATGCCACCTTGGGCCCTGTCCTCACTTGCTTAGCAGGTTCAGTATGCCCAGCACTGACTGCCAAGCTCCCACTCTGGGTCCCTGGCAGCAAGAAACTCCTGTGTTCACAGCACTCAGCTTTGGTGACTGATTTTTTTTTTTCCAGAGAGAAATGGAGAAGGAAAGAGAGAACCATTAGTGAGGAGAGAGAATCATTGATCAGCTGCCTCCTTCACGCCCTCCACTGGAGATCGAGCCCGTAACCCAGGCATGTGCCTTGACTAGGAAGGAATCCAACCTCCTATAGGTCGATGCGCAACCACTGAGCCACGCGAGCCGGGCTGATTTTTTTTCATATCTCATTCTCTTCCTGGAGGATTTGGCAACTATAAAAATAAGAGACGGGAGAGCCAGAAAGCCAGACTGGAGCATGAGGGGGAGATGAGTTGCGCTGGCCCTAGGTCAGTCTAAGGACACAGGACTGTTCTCGCCACACCTTTTCCCCTACTCAGGGAGGGAGTGATAGAGGGCTTTCTGAGCATTTGGTTACTGAAGAAGAGCCGCCACATGGCACACCAGCATCTCCAGCATGTTAGGGTGGCATGTCACCCACTGGCCTAGTTTCCAGGCACAGCAGCTGAGGCCTCCAAGCCTGAGCTGATTGGGAGTGTGGGCTTCGTGTTCTCTGAAACACATGCCCCAAATCTCCCAGAGAGAAAGAATGGGGAAGGGGTGCACTCACCCCGGAAGGCATCACCCTGCCACTCTGCAGGTGACAGGACCTCCTAGGAAGAGCGGGCCAGGGCCTCTCCCACAGGTCTCCCAAGAAACTAGCCTCTCCCAGCCAATGTTGCTCGCGGTCGGGCATCGACCCATGCACCAAGAGGTCTTTGGTTTGATACCCCGTCAGGCATGTGCTCAGGTTGTGGGCTCAGTCCCCAACAGGTGTACAGGAGGCAGCCAATCCGTGTTTCTATCTCTCTCTCTTACCTCTCTCTCTCTAAAAAACAATAAAAAACATTATTTTTAAAAAAAGAAAAAGATCCCAGCCAGTGTTGCTCAGTGGTTGAACGTCAACCCATGAACCAGGTCAAGGTTTGATTTCCCAGTCAAGGGCACATGCCCAGGCTGTGGACTTGATTCCCAGTGGGGGGTTTGCAGGGGACAGCCAATCGGTGATTCTCTCTCATCACGGATGTTTCTATTTCTCCCTCTCCCTCTCTGAAATCAATAAAAACATTTTAAAAAAAGAAAAACTAGCCTCTTCCTGGTGTCATCCTGGCACATGCACTCTCCATGCCCTCCCCGGCCAGGCAGGGATTTTTTTCACATGAGGGCCTGAGGCAGCAGGTGGGGAGGGCTGGGCAGCCTGCCCAGCTGGCCCCCGTTTAGGGGGAAGGGTGCTGTTACCACAGGTGTACTTCCTTACTCTGCTGTTTACCAAGTCTCAAGCCTTTAACCTTTTTTAAGAAGGAATTCGGGTTATTAGTTCTCTTATGATTTATTTTTGCTTTTTAAAAATTGTTGAAAACCAACATGAGAACAGGTTA